CCATCCAGATGCAGTCCTGAACCTAAATCCATGGTGCAGCTAAACGATGCACTTTTCAGGAGGTTTTATTTGCTGAGGCTCAGTGCTGCACTTGCTGAAGGATACAGTTTGTTCTCTGGTGCAGGCTTGATTCCAGATAGCTGAGAGCAGCAGCACAGGCTTGCAAGGGCCAGCATGCAGTGGTATTAGTTTCCTGAAGTGACAGTTTTCTGACTGAAGAGGATGATATTGTTTGTCACCATTTTGAAAATACATTTTTGTGGGAGACCAAGCCAGTGCTCCCAGTCCTGCTCCCCTCAATGAGGGTCCCAATTGCTTACATTCATGGTGTTTGCTTCCTTCTAGGATTACAACAGAGACAGGTAGTCTTTTACAATATAAACATAAAAGACTTTTAAAGGCAATCAGTTATTGCCTTTTAAACTAGGACATCCTTCCTAGTACCACATTTTGATTAGATTCACTGTTCCTTGTTGCTATATTGCACTCCTTTGTCATTTGCAGGTCTTTAAAATATCCTCACAGCATCACTGGTTGTAATATGTACTGTACAAGACATTTTTTAAAATTTATTTTTAAAATTTATTTTTGCAAGAGGTCCAGCTATATGAGAACTCCGTTTAATAGTTTTATCTTATATTAGTCGTCAGCTTCAGTTTCTCTATCCTCTTTTATTTTCCAGGGTAGAAGCAGGGTTTTTTGAGTTGTCCAATGTTTTCCAGTTGTGCATACTTTTGTGAGACATTTCAACTCGGTTTGTTGTTCTCCTTGATTGCACTTAGACCCCCTTTGTTTGTCAAAATGCAGAGGAAATTGGTAAGGACACCTGAAATGCTAGAGCAGTAGGTGTGAAATGGAACAAAAAATACCACTTTGACCACATGCTGGTGGGGAAAAGTGGGATGCAGCCAGCGTGTGAGCCCTCTTCAGTACAAAGTGCAAATTTGTCCTTTCACATTTTTTGCAAAAAACAGTTGTATTTTCAGGATAACCACAATTTGTAGAGGATGCAATTGTTTTTTGCTACAGACGATGTACAGATAAAATATCCTAACTGAATTTACTCTCTTCTCTTGGCTAAATCAATCTTCATTATGTCATTTATTGTCGTGATTTGTGGTGATCTATTTTCCATCAGTAAATAGCCAGGTGTTCAGCTTTGTTCTCCATTTTGGGTTATGTTTATACCCATCTGTTTTAGGAAAGTGAGGGAATCTATTCTGCAGTTCTCTGTTTGCAAATGTTAGAGTAGCCAGGCAATACACATGGTTGAGTCCCAGGGAAATCTAGTTTTGCATGAAGAGTAACAAGGCAGACAGCACGAACGTTTGGTTAAAAGATCTCATTAAATAAAACAGAAAAAAATTTATTAGTGGCTACTGGACAAGTATGAGCTACTGCTCTTGAGTCTGTAATAGAACTATTTGGGTTGTTGTCTTGGTGACTGAGTGTCAACCTTTGACGTATAGGTACAAACTGTGCTCAACAAAGAGTCCTGCATGCGTATCAGCTAGTGTTCTCAGTTTAAATTGGTAGTGAGAGGGACATTGTCCCAGGTTTTCTACAGTGCTTTGTTTCTTGTAGAACATGAAGTTAAAAGCTGGAACTTCAGTTTTATCCTCTGTTAAACATTCATATTCTGAATTTTTGATCTGTATTTTAGTCATTCTGATCGGTTTAGTCATCCATGTCTGAAAAAATAGTGTTAATTTATCTACATTAATTGTGATTAAATATATAGTCAAATACTATGTACCTTACAAAAAAAAAAAATTTTTTTTTCCTTAATCCCCATGTCTGAATAGAAACTTCTCTAACTTCCTTGTAGCTCTTCTTTTTCCACTGCTTTTGCCAATAGTATTTAATTCATATACACAAGTTTCCTAGGAACACATGAGAATGCATGCATTTTTGGAAGTGGAAGTTTGGAGGAGTGTAAGCTAGATACTGTTATTAATACAAAGTATCATTTTCATAGTCACAATCAGTGATCTTTTTAAATGTTCTGAATCGTCAGCTTATGCACAATGTTCTTCGGTACTGAAGAATGAAACAAAACGTAAAAGCCAGGTTTGCCATAAGCCAGTAGATTATTGTTAGTTACCAGTGTATCGTGGGTCACTGTAAACTCCACTCACTCCATTTACCACCTGCAGATCTAAATATGCAGATCTGACTATTAACATTTCCTTTTACAGAATCTGTGGAAAATGTAGTATGATACTTTTAAATCTACTACTTATAAGAAGTTAATCTTACACTGCTTATCATGGCCCTTACTTTTATTCAAAAGCTTTATGCTCATAATGTTTCATAGCACATGGAAGCTACAGAAGGTCATGTAATGCATTTTCTTATTAAAATATGCCCCAGAGTTTGTGTATGAAGTCAAACTTCAAAGCATCTGATTTCCAGCTAAGATAGAATGAGAAGATGAGACACCAAAAGGATAGCCGTCCTGGATTAAATCAAAGCTGGTTTTTGTTCAGTATCATGTCTTCAGGAGTACATGTAAGCTGATACCCAGAGACAAAAAATAACTGAGCAAGCATATATAATATTCCTTTCCCAGCTTCCAAATAATTCCATCTGAGGGGATTTCCTGAACCAGATGTGTGCTCTGCATAGTTTGTAAACCTGCAGTGGTTTTGTCTGCCACTAGCTTGCTCAGTTATCCACTGAATATGTAACATTTAGCATCCAAAATGACATTGTTGACAAAGGATCTTGACAAGTAGACCTTGTCAGCAAAGTCTACTGGTAATGTTCCTTACTGTATGGAGTCGCCTCTTTTTTTATTTCTGACTAGTCTGGTCCATCTAGCTTCTTTGGATTCCTCTAGCTTTATTTTTTAGGATGTGTTATAATTGCTGGTTCTAATTTAACCTTCCTCAGAAGCACAAGGATTTGGGTGGTTAGTAGCAAAGAACTGGCATTTTTTATTTCTCTTCTAGTTTTCTCGCTTTAGCATTTCATATTTTCAAACTTTATTTTATAACTATGAGGATTATCTTTTCCATTTTAATGAAGTGTAGTCATTAAATGGCAAGATTCTGGTATATTGCATAACAGATTCAGGAAACTTCGAGACCATTTAGCGTAGTCAGTGCACCATGCAAATCACAAGAGTTGTCAATATGTGCTGAAGTGTACAAAACACGAAGTGCACGTCCAACCTTCTGTGGCTTTATGGGAAAGTAAATTGGAACAGATGAGCTGAAATCTGTGACCTTTAGTATTTCATACCATAATAATTTACAATTATCATTGTAAGGTGAGAAAAGGGGAAAAATTTGAACCAGTTACAAGTGAATTTTCTAAAATTTATTTTATTGATTTTAATTATGCTTTGATGAGCAAGAGTAGAGGATGAAAACGCCTATTGCAAATGAACAGGGATAGCAGAATTTCTTTAAACATAAATGTTTAAGGAAGACAAAAGATGCATGGATTACTCTTCTGGCAAATTATTTCCCATCAGACTAACAGCCATGAATTTTTTCTTATCACTTGCAATGAATCTTTTCTGAAGAATAAAAATAAACTCTGTTTTAGTTTGTTCACTTCTTTATATTTCCTGACTGTCTGGAGTAGGAAAACCTCCATTTGAGTTATTTTTAACACAAAGGAAACTTTTCCTTTTTGGCTGTCCAGTGAAACTGGAAATGCCTCCTGAGTGATAAATAGTCTTCTGTGATAATTTTGCTGCATTAAGCAGGAAGCAAGATGCTAAGAGAAATGGATTAGCATTGACCACTTGGGAGCTTAATTATAGTAACAAGCTTTCTGGGAGAATATCATCTCAGTGGTGAATAACACAGATGTATTTTAGTAACTGGACATTATTTAGGATCTTTGACATGCAGCAAGTACTATGGATTTGGCTATTTTTATGTAACTTTTAAATGTCAGCCAATTACCATAAAATGCTTCTTTGAAATTAAATGGAAGTTGTGTATAATTGTGTTTTTAAGTAGTCATGGTGTTCTACAAATTTAAATAATTTTTGGCTCTTGTGAATTAAATAGACAGATCTGCAGCAGCAGTCAGTGGTGTGTTTTGAAACTGACTTCAACAAGACAAAGATGGAAGAGATCACTGTAAGAAAAAAAATAAAGATGATTAGCCTTATTTTTATGCATAAATAGTAATTTTGACCTCTTAATGAGCCTCACAGTGGGTTATGATTATTGCTTCAAACTGAAGTTTTCACCCCAGATGCCTCATTTTCTCTGAAACTTGCTATACAGCCATATTTTTACAGTATTTTCCCTGATGATGGTCACTGAGCTTTAGAGTGTGGGAAATCAGTCTGAAGAAGCAACTGCTCTCATGGCTGATCTCATCATAGTCCAACACCACTGTTGCAGAGAAACTTTTCATAAGAGGGTGAATGTTGGATTTCTGCAAATAGTCACATATAGGTGTATTTGAGATAACAACACCTGGTTGCTTTAAAAATTTATTTTAATCATTTCCAAATATGAAAGGTCTACAAGTACTCTACAATAGAATAAAGAGAAAACTGTATATTTTTTTTGTCCAATATAGATTAAAATTAAATACATTTGAAAGCTTTTCCACATTCTTTTCCTGTGTATGTCTTCTGCAAACAGTTGAAAATTAGTTAATTCTCAAATTTATTAATATTTTAGAACCTACTACCTTGAATGAGGGAAGGAACATTTTGTGTATAATACTTATACTAGAAATGTGTGGAGCTAAAAGGAGTAAAAGTAACAAAAAAATATTTACTTTTAAAGGTAATAATGTTTTACTTAATATTATTTGAATTGTGATTTACCAATGAGTGATGGACTTTTCAAAATAAGTTTTGGGTACAGAAGTCCAGTTGCTAACATTTCTGAATTTAGCTGCATACACATGTATATGCCACTTTCAACCCCTGTCTTGTACCCTCACTTAAGTATAACTGAACACTGATTTCTGAAAAGTCTGGGGTCTTATGTGTATTGCTACATATTACTTTTTTTTTAAAGCTCTCTTTCACCTCGTTGGCTCTTCCAATGTTGATGTGAAAAATGCAATGACCTTCAGTGGGCCTCTGGAAGACATGTTTGGGTACACCGTCCAACAGTATGAAAATGAGGAAGGGAAATGGTAAGCTGTTTTTCTTTTCTTATATGGAAACTCCAAATTATCAGGGTATTCACTGACTCAGACATTATACTATTATTTATAAGTATGCCTGACACATAAAGGTCAGATTCTGACAGTCATATTTCTTAAATACACAGTCGTAAGGAAACATAAAAACATTGGGAAGCTGAAAGATCCAAATTTATATCTACCTTTATTTCCTCAAAGACATAAATGATTTCACAAAGTGGGTAAATTTCCTCCTTGATGGAGCTGAGAAAGTTCTGTGTTTTGCCTGAGCCCTCTTTCTTCCATTTCCCAAATAAAATCATTATCTTTTCCTTGTGCTTATGTATTGGCAGTGAAATTGCCATTCTGTTTTACCTAATTCTTTTTCTGTTTTACCTAACTAATCTGTATGATGTACTTTTCTCTTGAAGTTTTCTGTTAGAGGTTGTCTGAACTGAGACTTTAACTGGTGGGAAGATTTCCCTGTCAAAATATTTATTAATACAGTAGTCTACCCTTCCTTTTGGAGAGCTAATTATATTTTACAATTAATAATACATTCATATTTGGGACTTGGAGCCTTCTTAACCTGTCTTTTCCTTCTTGTTGTTCTCCTGAACTATAACTTACATTTTGGCATGCTTACTGGTATCATTTCTTCTTGGCCTTCTGATAAATACCTGCTTATGCTTTTCTCTTGTAAAAATAAACTTCACAGGCTAACCACTGGGCTGGAGGACTGAAATAACAATTTCATGGTAAAAAGGTTTGAGAATCCTGAGGTCTGCATGCTTATTCGAAGATTGCTCTGTTTTTCACAGAGCTTTGCCAGTAATTTGATATTCTTGGTAAATCCAAGGACTCCCATGGGCAGCCTGGGACAACAGGCATTTGACTGTGTGACAACCAGGTTGGACTGTTCTTCAGCGCCCGAGAAATTCCTCACACAAGTGCAGGGGCTGCCTGATGCCAAGAGTCTGGCCACTACTGTGACACAGTGTTAACCATTAGTCATAGGCAATGTTCATAGAATTGAAACTGCAGAGCCTGCTTTTGAAAATACTAGCTCTTGTTTGCATCCTTGTTGTAGGATGAGGGTCATGGGAGCATAATAATGACCTTCTTTGAGCTAATTTAGACCTTCAGGAAATGATATCTGTCCTAGGAGCTCGGATTTTGCAGAGTTAGCTATATTGTTGTAAACTGTCCTGAAACCGTTCAAGACCAAAAAATAGTATGAGCTGGAAATGGTAGCTCTTCCAGTAGCTGAAGGAAGACAGGAATCTAAACTAGTGTACTAGATCTGAACATCTCTGAAATTAACTCCAGAGCTGCTGTTAAACTGTCAGGCTTCCAAGTTGCTTTCAGCATAGCACCATCCAGAGCAGGAAATCTGAAGGTTGACAGTTTAATATATAAAGCAGCTTTGTGGTGCTTTGTCAATTGCTATAATGCTACCTAGATACCACAGATAGGGCTTTTCAGCAACAGAAGTTCCGTGAACCTGGCTGTGGTTGTTTCTCTATGTAACTGTGGTCCCCTAAAAAAATCCCCACTGAAAAACATCAAAATGGCCTTTCAGATCTCCTCTGTCTTTTCATTGCACCCTTTTCTTCTGAGTAAAGAACAGCACAGGGACATGATCCTGCTCAGCACTGACCAACTCCCATAGGATGTCAAGCTCACTCAGCTTCTCTGCGGTTAAATGGAAGGCTGTGGTGCCCATTTCTATGTTTGGTGTAAAAAATGGACACATTACAGCATATAGTTGGAAGAGCAGTAAAATCTAGTATATATTCAGAGTATGTAATTTAGAGTTAGTAAATCTAGTAATAGTGAAAAAAATTTTTCCTGTCTTTCTCTTTTTTTTTTTTTTTTGTAGGCTACATTTTACATATTATGTCATTCTATTCAAGTATCTTCTGTCTGGACCCATTAGTTTATGATTAAATGTTGAAATGGTTCTCTCAATAAGTCTTCACCCTTAGGACACTTATGTCCAGGAGCAAAACTTAACCCAACTACTACTCATAAAGTACACACTCTTTCCTGTGTAGCCTGTAATTTCTAATTTAATCCAAGTTCTTCCTTACACATGTAATGGAGCCAGTTGTTATCTGCTGGGTAATGCTGGACTAATTAGTGTAGCCAATAAAGACTTGGGAACAAAAACAGTGTGCACCTCTAAACAGTGTTTCCTACTTAAAACTGGATTTAACAGTGGATGCTAATTTGTGTTGCTTACAAAGTACTACATGAGAATAGCGATGTTTGATCACACCAAATTTTGAAAAAAAAAATGCACAGGATAAAAATCCTTACCGTTTTTAAAAATTGAGATTTCTTTTAATAAGACTTTTAATAACATTATTTTTTATTAAGGAGGTAAAACAATGTATTTTATGCTCCTGGCTCACATTACTTTAGACTGAATTTTTCTGGATGCTTGTGAGCCTCTCCTTTTGCATTTGGTCTCTCAGCATTGAAAATACGATTTCTTCTAAAATATATTAAAGATCAAGGAGCTATTAAATGAAAAAGCTCTTTCTTTTTTTATTACTTTTAATACTTGTCATCCACTCACCAATATTGCATTCATTTTCCAGTGGAATTTTTAAAATTGTTGGTCTATTATGTAATTTGTTTTATAGACAAATTTCTTTCTGTGTCCTTATTAAAGAGAAGATTGTCTGCTTTTGCTTGTATCTGAAGTAACAGATACTTTTCTTGCTGTCCATCCTGTACTCATAGCACAGCAGCTTGCTGTAGCTGTGCTCTCTAAGTTTTATTTTCTGACTTTCATGTCTTTCTTAAGAAATAAGAAATTTCAGGTAACTTATTTCATTTCCAGGGTACTTATTGGTTCACCGTTAGTTGGCCAGCCTGAAAAAAGAACAGGAGATGTATACAAATGCCCTGTAGGAACGGACAGCCAATCACCCTGCACAAAACTAAACTTACCAGGTATGAGAAAAAATAAAGCTGTGTTGTGTGGAGGGATAATAGAGGTTAAATCTTAGGAGATTTTTAGCTAGTAAATATGCATTAGAATTGTTTCTACAGAGAAAATTTACTTAGGACTCCAGAGCTAAATGTGAAGGAAGTTGTGTTTGCAACATCAAAAATAAATGTATTTTAAAGATTCTCATTGTCCTATGGAAAACATGCTCATAATTTTAGAATAGGCATTTGGCTGTGGTTTTAAAACTTTATTATGACCAGCATTAATTGACTGTGGTTGGTAGTCCTGGCCATGGAGCAAGAAAGGCCATGGAGCATGGACTCATGGGTTACCCTTTCCAAAGAGCCTTCGTAATGCCATCAGTAAACTTTTAGCAAGATGTAACCAGGCTGATGCATCTTACTTTGATGTGGGTAAATATTGATCATTTTCTTGCTCATGTCAAGAGATACATGATGTAAACAGGAATATGCCCAATTTATATGAATTTCACTAAGTATACCTGTTGTGGTATTTTTTGTCTCCTCTTTTCCCTTGAAAGCCTAAATGTCAATAATGTAACCTAACAGTAACAAATATAAAACTGTTAAATCATTTATAGCAGGACAGGGTAAAAAATGAATGTTTGTTTTTTAATTAACAAAACTGTGGTAACAGTAATCTCTTGCTTTCATTGTGCTGTTATTTTAACTTCTTTCTTTTTTGCAGTTCAAGAAAACTATTTGAGACAGCAACCCAGACATTTCATTTATTTCTGGGATAAAAGCCAGAATCAGAATTTTTTCTTGATTATTGTAATTGAAGAAGGAGGAGGAAGGGTGCTAAAATATTTGATGAAACCAGTATCAGTCTGGGTTTTATTTTAGAAGCTAGAAGCTCCATGGTAGGGGATATATACTTTAATATTTTGTTTTCATGTTCCCAAATACTTAACATTTTAATCTATTTATAGCTGCTACTTCAGTTCCTAACGTTGTGGAAGTAAAAGAAAACATGACACTTGGAACAACCTTAGTGACTAACCCAAGAGGAGGCTTTCTGGTAAGAAAGTACTTTTTGACAGCTTTAAAAGAAGTCTGTTTTTTCCTCAGGTACCACAACAAAAACCTTTCACCCTTTTTCATCTTTTAAAGGCATGTGGACCACTTTATGCTTACAAATGTGGGCGTCTGCATTACACAACTGGAGTTTGCTCTAATGTCAGTTCAACTTTTGAAACCATAAAGGCAATTGCTCCATCTGTGCAAGGTATGCAGGCCACAGGAATTCTTTTGTGTATCCAGAAATATGAAGTGCCAAGCAAGACAAATGTATACACATAGGCATACAAAAAAATATGAACTGTTTAACTTAGCTACCAGCATTACCAAGTTAAGTAAATGTTTTCATTGTCCGTATATAACCTAAATTCTTGCTACTTTTGGAATTTATCTCAGTATAAACAATCATTAGAGCACTATGTAATATCCAAACACAATTGCTAAAAATAGTTGCTTATGCTTTTTACTTATGGCCAAAGGTCTTTTTAAATACTGACACCATGTTAAGATCTCATACAAGCCCAGTTTAGTAGTATAGATAAAAATCTTAAAGACCTGGTCCTTTGGAAAAATCTAAGAGGGCTGATGTTGAAGAAGGTAGGGGTCACTTCAGTTATGTGATTTTCTAATCCCATTCTTAAATTTCTGCTTACAAAGAAGTGCCTTGCTGGCAAGGGGAACACAAAACATGTAAGTTCAGCCCAGCTGAGAAGGACATGCATTTGTTACTGATCACAAAAGTAACTGGAGCTCTGAGATATAATTCATCTTTGTTAGTATCAATTCTTACATGGCAATTTGCATTGCAGAGTGTAAAAACCAGTTGGACATTGTCATCGTCCTTGATGGATCCAATAGCATTTATCCATGGGAAAGTGTCACAGCCTTCCTCAACAGCCTCCTGAAAAACATGGATATAGGTCCTCAGCAAACACAGGTACCACCATAGATATTTTATGATTGTTTAATTTGCAAATTAAAAAGGATATGCAGGAAACGGGATGAGAGCATCCTCTATGGAACTCTTCAATTCCAAGAACTTACAGCGATGGGGTCCTAAACCAAAATAGCTGAAACCACAACAAGGACAGTATCTGCCGCCAAGTAGCAATGTCAGGGAGGCTCTCCCTTACCCCACTGCTCAAGCAATCTGGAGAAGCAGAGTGTCTAACCTAAAGACAGAAGTTAAGTACGTTAAGTGAGGCTATTAGAATGCTGTCCTTTCCCACTTCCTTCCTCTCCACAACCACTTCTTGTCTCCTTTTGTACTTCACAGCGCAAAAGTCATTTCTGCTCCTCTTGAGGCACACATGCGTGGTTCAGACAGCCTTTGATTGTAAGCTTTTTGGATTCAATATTTTGTACTGTGTAACATTGAGCATATACCTTTTAAACATATGAAATCGTAATTAACGAGTGGCTGTTAAACCATGTTATTAATGGCAGAAGCTGCATTTATGTAGTAAGTGGAGAGGGCCAAATTCCCAGCTGCTATAAATCAGCATAGTTCCACCAGAATTAACGAAGCTACAATCAATTACCCCAGCCAAGGATCTGGATATGTTTCACAGTCTGCTAAACAGAGTACCTAAATAGCAATATCAACAGAACTCAGGGAAGGAGGAAACATGGATGCTGGGATACATTTTAACACAGAAAGCTGTAATAACAGCATCAGAAGGAGCCAGGTCTTCCTTTCACTTTTCCCTTTTTCCCCTCTCAAAATCAAGGATTTTATGGGATCCTGTATAGTATTTGATATGCTGCAGGCCAATACTTGGAGGGTTTGCTACTTCAAGTTCCTCACATTCAGTTACTGCATTCACAAAGGAGACTGTGAGAAGATGTAAAGGATGCATTTGTCTGCAGAGAGTATTCCTGTCATTTTCCAAGTCAATTGGGATTTGTTAACTACCCAGCTCCCCTGTTGGCTGTACTGAACAGTGGCTGATAAAATTTTTTTTTGTAAAGTGTCCACTTTACAATCATGTCCTGTTATTTTAAACATGCTGTTCTTCCAGATACTGCTTCCAGAAGCAAAAACACTTGGTCAAATTTAGTAGAAAGGAAAAAAAAATTTCTTCCTGGTCCCTCAAGCCGATCATTACTCAAACATGTGCCATCTTGGGAAAATACTTAAACCTGAACTTCCCAGTACAGAGCAATGGCTGCATGGAAATCATCACTGCTTTCTACCCACAGGGCTTCTTGGGAATAGTACACAGAGCAATCAGCTGTACTACACCCTAACCCCTCTTTCTCACCCTGCAATTCCTAAATTTTTACATTGCCACACCTCTGTTATGTTTGGTTTTGGAATCCTGCCTCATGTGTGGGTCTCAGCTTGTGCACAAAAGGTCCCTTGCTGGCCTGCACTCCAGCAGCGCCCCATCTCCACCTACAAAATCTATTCTACCCGCAGCTTGGCATAGCTGCCCCTCTTCTCACACGTACACTTATTCATTTGAGAATGTCAGCTTTGGCATCTGATTGCTGCAGAGCAGAAACACTTCAGAGGGAGATAAGAATGGGACAAGGTGGAGAGAGGCTGAAAAACTGGAAAGGGAAGGCAAAACTAGGTGGAATTTTCTTGGTTCCTCTTTCCTTCCCCATTTTCTTAGAACGCATCCCATTGCTCTCCTCTCCTCCAAGCCCTTTGCTTGGGAACACTGGCACAGCCCAAGGTAGTAATGAGTTTCTACTGTCTCCTCCACCCACACTGTCTCCTTTCTCAGACACTGTGTTTAAGTGACTGTTGAATGGGGAAGTGGAGAAAGGACAGAACAGGCATATTTCTCCCCTCTCCTCTGGAAGCACAGAAAAGAAATATAGGAAATGCTGTTTTCTTTCTGTCTGTTTAAATTGATTTTTCCATGTTCCTCTTTTGAGGATTGTTGAACATGTAGGAATCAGTGGATTTTCACTGACTTCACATTGTTTTCCTGTTGCACGGGAAAGGAATGAGATTATTACAGAATAACTCCTTAGCAGCTTGGGTGTGACTTGTTTAAAACCATGTTTTGATTACAGGCTTGTAAGATATTTTTTTTCCCACTTACCCCTTCCATGAACAATGGTCATTAGATTTGTGATAAGTCAGGACTGAAATTTCTCATGTCCCATGTTTGACAAATGTGAAAGTGAAAGCCAGGAGATTCAGATGCAACCAACCAAAGTTTATGGTATATTTTTTTCAGAAGTATATCCTTCCCTTCCTCTTTCTGTTCTCCAGAAAATTCCAACACCATACTCATAGTTAAGCTGCATACCCTGAGCTTAAGAATAAAAGAAGTAAAGGGAAAGTGATGACAGAAAAGTAGAAATGGAAGAAGGAGTTAAATGGGGGGGGGGGAGGAAGTATAAGTGGGAGCAAAATATTTCTGCTGGCCTTATTCCACATTTTAATGTAGCTGCATAGAAGATTGGTTTTTTCTTCTTTTTTTTTAACATTTGTAGAGGTAATTGTCTTTAATACGAGAGTATGGTTTCTAATTCTCTACATATGAACAACATTCTGTGGTAGGAGAATATCAAAAGAGGAGAATGATTCCAGGTATGTTCAGTTCCAGCTTTAAAGCTATGTTGGAATGGCCTTCAGAAATTTTCAGACAGGTTTTATTTTTCCATTAATATAGGACATAGGCAGTGTTTGGTCTGTACCTTAGTTTATCTCCAAAGGGACTGTATGAGTGGATGAATAAGTCATGCCATGTCATATCTCATGATCAGTTTTGTCTTCAGAAGAACAGAAGAGTATTAAAAAGGTATTAAAAAGATTTGGGGCTAAGAAAGATGTTTGCAATAGTTTATAAGTGATTTCTGTCTGAGTCCTTGCAAGGGAGCAAAATGTAGCAGAATTAATTCAGTTTTGCTTAGACTCAGGTATCTTTAGCACGTTCTCTGTATGATAAAATGCATTATCCACCAGTACTTCCCAAGGCATCTATGCTTTTCTTTTTTCTTAAATACAGCCAAAAATATTTCTTATTTTCCTCCACATCCCAGTGGTGAAAATCCTAGCATATCATTTCCATATACTAAATGGTTTTCCTTTCCTTTTTTTTTTTTTGTGTGTGTGTGGTGATGTTGTTTTTTACCAAATAGATCAGCTTAGTAATTTATTGAGAAAGCCAGAATGTACTTTCCAAATAAGGGGCGGTATTCACTTATAGAACAAGAATAAATAATTGCCCTCAGAAATGTTTTGTCCAAAGTAGAACAGCCCTTCACTTGCCTGTTCTCTTGTACAACACTTTTTCACAGGAACTGGGGACAATTAAAGAATTATTCCCTTGTGTAATATAAAAGCCATGGAATGCTAGGGAAGGGAACATTAGTTTAGGCATTACAAAGATGTTCAGTAGATTATGGTCAGTAATGCTGGGAAAAATAGTAGGTTTTCTGGAGCAGAACAGAATTATGTCCTTCTGTATAGTACTATTGCATTTTCGAGGTTTAATATAAACAAGCGAATCAAAACATATAAAGCCTGTAAGCATCATTCTTAGGGGCTTGCTGAAGTTACATAGTGTGAAGAGGTTTATTGTCCCACAAAAGCACATTTGCATCATGTAGATGCGTCATTTATAGTTTTCCATTAGATTAAAAGGTTGCAAAAGCTTAAAATTTCATTGCTATCTGATAGAACATAGTTCTAATTTCACAAGGTGGACTTGATTCTGTGATTCTGTAGGAGACTGGAACATGCTGCCTAGTAGTATTTTCTCAGTTCTGGGAAGTTTTTCATTACCGTTTTTGAGGAATGGCTCATCTTTGATGCCATGAAATATATAGAACATGATGAGCAGTGTTTTCAAAACTAGTACTAAGGAAGGGTCCCTCAGAACAACAATTGTATCCCATAAGATAACCACATGCCCCCCTTCCTTCCTGATTTACGAGCTATGCAACACATGCAGACTCAGATGTTCTTCCCATTCACTTCCTGAGAAGGAAATGCTCAAAATGTTTACTTACTGTGATCATGGACAATGTTTCCTTTCAAATAGGAAATGATACAACTCAATGTCAGCCTGTAATCTTTTTTTAAGATAAAGACAACACCAACATAGAATCATAGAATAATTAGGGTTGGAAAGGACCTTAAGATCACCTAGTTCCAACCCCCTGCCATGGGCAGGGACACCTCACACTAAACATGGGTCTCTAGAATCATGAAAGACTGGCAGGTACTTTTCACACTGATATCAGTTAATAGTTGATTTAATCCTTGATACCAATAAAATCCTCTTAGCTGTAGATAAGGAGCCCAGGAATCCACAGCACTGGACTCCCTGGCATACAGTAGTTTCTGGCCACACTTGTGCGTGGTCCTGGAATACTAAGGCACTACTCCTGCACCAAAAAGTCAAAAATAATGAAAATCCCTTGTTTACACCAGTTAATGGCAGTCTTTTAAAATGATTAGCAACATCCTGTTCCGGTTATGCTGTATTTCACTTTTGATGCATGCCACAGAATTGTTGCCTTGGAGGGAGCGAGTTAAAAATGTCATCTTCAGCTTGGGGTTTAGTCAGTGCCACATGACTGCTCTGAGTGGTAATAACAGCATGTGCCCCAGCCTGTTGTGTAAACACTGTGCAGGATTAATAGGCTGCTGCCCACGAGAGCATGCAGTATCTGGATGTTCTCAGCTGCAGGTGGAAGAGGGCATGCCTTCAAGAGAGAACTGAAATACCTTAAAGGGAGCAACTTGTCTTTCAACTTAAATCTGTTCTTGCAGATTTGATTGTATTTTCAAAAGGGTACAGAAATTGAGTGGGATAGATTTTGCTGCCACATACCATTGTGATTATAGTCCCACATTCTTATGTAACTAGCTCTTCATAATGATTGTGATATTGATGTTTAGTATCAAATATTTATCCAGCTCTAACTGTTCTACTACAAGTAAAAAAACATTGTGCAGAATCTGAGGGGCTACGAAAGTAACTGAAAAAACACCAATAAAGCAATTGCAAAGTCACTTCTAAAATAATGTAATAGCATAAACATCCCAGAGGTCGTATTGATCTCTAGCAGCTAAATGCTAGAGTGCTTTTAATAATAGATGAATGAGATATAAATGCCACATAATACTGCATTATCCTAAATAACACCTATAAATTGCCATGTGTAACATAAAATTGAAATATGCTAATGGAACATTGTGTGGATTCTTCCCAGTAAAAGCTGTCAGGAACCTGCCAAAACATTAAAAGTGACAGAGATGAATGAGAGAAACTAATTAATATTTAAGAATATTGCTTGTCTTTTTATTTCACACATGCTTTTGCAGCAGGTCCCCTCAGGCATCTGTGGTTGGGTTTCAATCCCATGCACTGATATTTTTCACAAAGATTTGTCTTGCTGAGGTCATCTAAAGTCTTTACATCATCCTGCCCCATTCCAAAAAACACCATTTTATTCATTTTTCCCCTCTGGTGCTTGTCTTACTTTGGCTCTCCTCCTGCTGGGAGAACACCATGTCTTAGACTGCCCTGATATCTTCATCAAGAGAAGGGTACTTGAATCTTCCTCTCACCCTAGGGCCTGAATTTGTCATTCCAGTGCTATTTCTAGGCTAGGTTTATGGTAAATAAACTATCAGCTATAGGAATAGTATATTTGGAGGGAATGAAGGGAGTTGTGAGTGAACCATGGTCCTGTATGATATAAGGAAAACTATTTTGAGAAGTTGTGGCTGGTGGTTAGGGTATTGGTCTGCCTTGGCTTAGGGTTGAGCAGAGCTGCAGCATGGATTACTTAAGTCAGGAAAATCAAGGAGGTCGGCCTGCTTTTGGCTTTGCTCCTGTGTTTAATAAAACAATTTAGAGACTTAAAAATGTTCCATGAGATTCAGTTTTCAAGCCAGACTTTATCAAATGCTTATAGGTGTTTCATACTGAGGAAAACATACAGATTTAAATTCTTTTGTCGGTACAGAGGAACATTTACCCCAGTGCAGGAGATATAGATGTTTTCTTTAAGAGTAGTTGATTTTTAATATGAACTGTGTGTTTCAGGTTGGAGTTGTTCAGTACGGACAGACTGTAGTCCATGAATTTTTCCTGAATACATACTCGTCAACAGAAGATGTGATGGCTGCAGCCACAAGAATACGTCAGCGAGGTGGTACACAAACTATGACAGCCCTGGGGATAGATACAGCAAGGTATGCTTACAAAATGTTGTCCTGCATATGACAGAAGCAAACATAAGTAGATATGGTGACAATTCTGATTTTATGAATTAAAAATATGATGTGGCTGACATCTGACTTCATTTTAGCTGAGCAAACAAAATTTAAGAGGAGGGTGGATAAACAGACCCTGTCTGGCAACTAAAGCAGTTGTATAAGGCACCCTGGAAGGGCAGCTGTTTTCTGAATGGGGGAAATAGAGAAAGAAAAGAGACATGGAGCAAGGTTGTAGTCCTAAGCAAAGAGCTGACAATCTTTGATGTCCACACAGAACAGGTAGGAACTATATGTGTAGAAGGATGAAGGAAATAAAGTTTTCAGAGAAAATGCAAAAAAATAAAACTTTTTAATGTTGAATTGTCTTCATTCTGAAGTTAAGATTAGTACATGCTTTGAGCACTTTTCAGAAAGCCAATAAATTTTATATCTGAAGTCTTTGAAGCTTCTGGATCACTGGTAGTTTGAAGATCTGTTGTAGCATTAGCATTATTTAGAAATGCTTCCTTTATGAGAAAAATTAAGGCTGAATTTTGTAAAACAGTAAATGCAAAATCTCTAACACTTTCAAACTGTACAGTGTTGTGTCTTTTTTGTTTTCTACTGCTTTTTCTGGCACCACAGCTTTACTTCTGTAAAAGATTGCATTAGCCCTTTCTAAACAATCATTTAGTGAAATATGCAGCACCTTTTTGATAAACTATTTGATTATCTGATTATCTCAGTAAAGTTTTGTTGAGATGATGTCTGAAATCCAGTGAAATTCTTACATATTCACCCCTAACAATTTCCTTAGAAACAAGTAGAAGCTTGAGGGAGTCTGAAAAAGTTTCTGAAAACAGAGCCACTTGAGAATTGCCAAATACCCAGAAACCACATGTGGTTCAGAAAGTTCCTGTGCACCACAAACTGCTGCACACTTATATATACAGAAACTATCAGGAAAAGCTTCCTCTGTGCTTGCCATCTCTCTATGCATCCACTTTTGGCTATCTTCAGTGGGACATCTCAGCTTTCACTCATGTGGCCAGTCTGAGAGTTCTGTGGTAGTTTACTAAAGAGATGAAGACCTGCTTCCTTCCTTCTCTTCCAGAGCCCTAATCCACCCTTGCCTTTTTGGGTCCCTTGCAGAGCCTGGGGACTCAGCAGCTGCCCAAAACTTCAGTGTCTGCTCATCTGCAGCCGTAGAATTCAACCAGTCATCCCAACCTGCCAATGCTCACCTGCAACCTACTTCCACAAACAATGAGTTTTATTGTAAATCTGAAGAGGTGTGCTGGTAGCTGAGTAAATACTTTGACCACCTGAAGTGCTGTTATAGGGTGGAAATAGTTCTGGGGTGAGGGGGTATGTGGGTTTTAGGATGGGGATCTTCGTTGAGTCTTTTTTTAAGCTACCAAAAGCTGGTTTAAGATGCCAGAAATTTTTTGGAGGAGGGAAGCATTTTTCAGTTCCACACTGTATTTTCCACTCTCAAATAAATGAATAATGAATGAATGATTGGGAAACTCTTTGGCTGTGAACTGTCCTCTATGTTCCAACTGTTTGTATTTGTTCATGGTTAACATTAATCTCCTTTTCCTGCTCCTTAATCAATATAGAGTGCTTTAGTTAATGGTTGACTATGCGAATATGATGCATGTGCTAAATGCTGACATTGCCTTTCCCCAAACGCTTTATGCTCCCTTTAGAAAAGAGGCTTTTACTGAGGCTCATGGCGCAAGAAGAGGAGTACAAAAAGTAATGGTTATTGTGACTGATGGGGAATCACACGACAACTACAGATTAAAAGAAGTGATTGATGATTGTGAAGATGAAAACATTCAGAGATTTGCTATTGCTGTAAGTGAAATTTAATGGGAAAATGCAGAATCTTAAAAGTATGTTTCATCTTCCAAATATAATTTCTGTTTGAAAAGTTCATTTCATAGCATCTTTATGGAAATACAATCATTTCAGAGAGGAAGAAAAGAAAGAGGCTGAAAAAAAGAAAAAAGACATTAAAAATTTGCTTTCTGATTTTATAGCACATAAGAAAAAGCAATCTATCTGTCTTCCTGGTGATGACAGGTCTGTATGTGTGTGAAGAAATGCAGAAAGAGTTTGAGGGGCACTATAAAATCAAATCTTTTTTGTTAAGAGCAATACTGAACAGAATGTTCAAATCTTCTGAGCAATTTCTATGAATGCTTTACTTACTTTAAAAGAAAAAAGGCAAATGTAAACCATCAACAAAAACTAGGTTTATTACAGCTGTCCTGTGTGCTGGCATTCTGAAGTTGTCATTTCCATGTTGAGCAAACTTAGTAGCTGAATGAGAGGAACGTGTCAAAGCTGTTTAGCCTGGAGAAGAGAAGGCTGCATGGAGACCGCATAGCAGCCTTCAGATATCTGAAGGGGCCTACAAGGGTCCTGGAGAATGACTTTTCATCAGGGATTAAAGTGATATGACAAGGGGTAATGGGTTGAATCTTAAACAGGGGAAGCTCAGGTGGAGAAGTTCTTTACTGTGAGGGTGGTGAGGCACTGGAATGGGTTGCCCAAAGAAGTGATAAATGCTCCATCCCTGGCAGTGTTCAAGGACAGGTTAGATGGAGTCTTGGGTGACGTGGTTTAGTGTGAGGCATCCTGGCCCATGACAGGGGGGTTGGAACTGGATGACCTTGAGGTCCTTTCCAAACCAAACTATTCTATGATTCTATGATTTGGTGTAAACCCAACATACCCTTCATGCTGTATTTGAGTATTCTATTCTCAATCTGTTTTCTCTCATTAGTTTTGAAGATGTTTGGGATTGTTGCTTGTCTGTTCCTGTCTTTCATTGCTTTGATACAATGAGATGGTGTGGAGCCATGCAACTTCAAGAAGATACTGTCTTAAATTTAAGGAAAGACATAAATAAAAAGTTGAATCCAGCAGCATACAGATTTTCAGTTATTTCCTTCCTAAAGCTAGATATCTTTAAATAAATTTTTCCTTGAAACTGGAGTAATCTTTAGCAATAAAAGCCCTGTTTAGAACTGAATTTGAATTACTCTAGTGTCCAGTTGGGCAGCGGTCCAGCTCCAAACGTGGGAGGGATTTTTCTTTCTTTCCTCTAGGTAACTTAAGTGTATAGAGCACTTTTTCCTCTTACCAGTACTTCTAGGTCTGGGAATTGAAGAAGTGAGTCATTTTGTTCTGAGGCATCCTGAATTTTTGCAGCAGTGGTGTTAAAACTGAAAATCAGATGTAAAGTCTCGTAGTGTGATGGTGTTATTCATACTGAACTCAACTGTTATGTAGGATTCATAAGAAAAATCTGCACACCAACAAAGAATTATTCTGTACCTTATTAACTTGTCATTAGTTGCTTATATACCAAGTTGTGAGGAGAGCTGGTGGTATTTATACAGAAGTGAGTGCAGTTGTGTTTTGTTTTGGGGATTGTTGTGTTGTTTTTTTCCTAAATTAAAGCCTGCTTCAACAAATCATAGAATTGTAAAATAAATCATTCGAATTTTGTGAAGAAGGGAAAAAAGGACAGTTGAAAATTGCAGATGTTACACAGTTGCTTTGTTTGGTATTGATTGTATTTTCAGAAAAACAGCTGAGCCCTCATACAGTTGTGTTCTTATTGCGAAAGAATGATTTGAAATCAATTTAAGGGAGGTTTTAACAGAGCAAATTAAGATTAGATATGATTTCCCAGTATTCCCTGACAACCTGCCTCAAAGGTATCTATTTTTTAAAAGAGGTTAAAACAGGTTATAAAATGTTTCCTTGACTACTTTTTTTTATTTTTAATTCTCTTTAGATTCTGGGCAGCTACAGCAGAGGAAATTTAAGTACTGAGAAATTTGTAGAGGAAATAAAGTCAATTGCCAGTAAGCCTACAGAAAAGCATTTCTTCAATGTTTCAGATGAATTAGCTCTTGTAACTATTGTTGAAGCACTTGGAGAGAGAATATTTGCCCTAGAAGGTATGCTCTTATTTAGAATTTTACTTCATGGCAGCATTATAACTGAAGCAAATAGAAGACCATCTGCTTTTATCTGCCTTTGCAATGTATTGTGCTGTATAAAATGTGTTGTGCAGTAATTTTTTCATGCTGATCATAAGAATATTTTACAATTAACATCAAAATTTACATCATAGATAATGATGTAAAATATATTCAGATGGGTTAAAGCCTGTGGAGACAATAGCTTAAAAGGGTAACTAAGCATCGCTGGTTTTGCTGGGGTAAACATGCAGTTCCCATCCCTTAGATAAAAAAACATTGCCAGACGATATCCTGATTATATGTTCATCTGCCTATACTTTCAGGTTGTCTTTTTTGTTAGTTGCTAGTTACAGGATATTACTTTGCCATATAAGCTAATATGGACTTGGTGTATATAGTTGATAAGATGTATTTTTCTTTTGGAAATATTCATGACACTCAGATTTTAGCACAGCAAAGTCATTCTCTCATAATGTCTGCTTACATTCTCCATTCAAATTAAGCAATGCTTTCCAAATCTCTGTTTGGTTCAAGAGCTCTTTTGGCTATCTCTGAAAGGATTCATGGCATGCAAAGAAGACACCCATCAATTTGGACTTTTTTTTTTTCAACATCTCAACTCTCCAAGTAACTGGAATAGTGTAGTTTACAGCTGGAATAAAAAATAATGTTGGCTTGAATTTCAAGATGTAGTACAAATATGAGAGAGTATTTTGAAGTGTTTTGTTTTTCATTTTCATTGGAGCTATATCAGACATGTTTAGTTATTTTTTTAGGGTATCATTTAGCTTGATCAACTATTTTCAGCTAGATATTTCTTCCAGTTGATATGTTTTTATCTTTTTCTCTCTGGAAGGTTTTGTTTCCTCAGTTGTGAAATAAATTTTAATTTGAGGAGAATTTAGTATCTCTAAAGCCCAAAATTTAGCCTACGTAAACTCACTGAGTACTTCAAAGTTCATTGACTAGGGGACTTTTCTGTTAAGTCTTTGTTTAGTTCCAGTGGAGAAACAGATGTTCAAACAGAAATTGAAAACTTCATCTTCAATTTGTGCTTTGTACTTCCAGAAAAGTGAAAAAAAAAAAATCATTGTCTTTCATTAGTAAAATAAAATGTTAGTTACACCTATTAAATATAAAGGATATAGAATAGAAAGTTAATCAACTGCTAGTCATGACAGCTGAGGAAGTATGTAAAACCTAGCATGGCAGTTTATGGACATCTATATGCTCAAAGTCGAGGTTTTATGCCGTAGCTCAACCCTCTCAACACCTGGATGCCAGTGGAAGAGATGGTCTTACTTTGTCAGAATCCACCTTGTCCCTTTTAGCAATCAGTAGCCATTAGGTAGAGCCTGCCTGTCACAAAAAAACCTAGCCTCCAAATAGTGGAGTAAGTTGTGCTGGCTTGAAATCCCTGGTGGAGGGGAATGCTTTATATCATGACCTCTAATCATTCCATTGACTTTAGTCATTGATTGCTCTAATCATATGAAAAAATTACAAACATTTAATATTAAAGAAGTTCTGAAGCTTAGTAAAATATACAAACAAATGCAGTTATGTTGATGGTGGCAAAACAAACATTAAATTGTATAAATGTTTAAATTGTATGAATGTTACCTGTTTGTATGACAGTCCACTCTTGAGATGACTAATCTTTATCATCATGTCCTTCAGTGTTTTGGTACTTTAAGCATATTGTACCTCTTCAAGTATCAACCAGTTTTGCCATACTCTTTGAATTCAACTTTCATTTTCTGCAAAAGATGCAGTAATAAATATGTACTTCTTGGATATTCTGATTTTTTAACATAAGCCTACTATAAACTGTTTGGATATTTGCATCTTTATATATTTTACTTATTTTCAATTTTTATTTAATACAGACTTGTTTGTGTTACAAAAATTGTATATTTGAAATGAAAAATTTGGAAAATTATTGTTATCCACACTGTAAGAGACACGCTAGGGAATTTCACCACTCCCAAAAGGCTTCTTGATTTCCAGATTTTCAGTAGGAACTCAGAGATGTGCTAAGATTTCTGTATAAAGACACCTGTGATGTAAGACAAGAAATGTTGCCTCCTCCACCTGTAAAAGTCCTAGAAATCACGTAATCTGGCTGCAAGGGAATCAGAATAGAAATTAAAAATGGAATCTTAGCTTTTTGTCAAACCATAGCAAGTTTGAGCTACTCAAGTTGCTCCTTGATTACTCCATCTCAATTTCCAAGGTTGAGATGCTAAGTCAGTTTCTGGCATGGTTTCCTGTCCCCTCACAAAGCATTGCAGGAGCTATTCTAGATCTGCTATTCTAGACTGTGTCCATGGATGTATTTTTGTGGCAGGGGAAAAAAGCAGATTAGTTCTGTTACACCCAGCTTCTGGCGACAATCCAATTTATTGAATGTGTGCCATGTGGAAAAGATTAGTTAAACCCCATACACTGTAGCTGAATTAACTTATGTGCATAACATGGTGATCACAGGAACCTTGATTTTTTTAAATTCTGTGTCTAAGTCTGTTTAAAGTCTCAATCTAAATAGCCTCGTACTAGTATAGTAGTACATTTGGATTTTTTTTCTTGGATTTCATGTTTTCTTTTTGGTTTTGGCCTTTTAAAAATTGCAAAGTAAAACCTAGAGAGAATTGAAAAATGAAATCCAACGAAAACCCATACTTGACAGCCAGTGAATTTTTACATATAAGCTTTTCAATATGCCTCTGTGTTTCATGGCATGGACTTCTGGATTTAACAGCATTTTATGTTTTAACCAGCCCATAGGCAGGCACAAATGTTTTTACACAAAATATCCTTTGTAGGATGCTTGGCAGTTTGATACTCAATGGAAAGTTAGACTGAGGACCACTATCTAAGCAGCATTCAAAGCTGCACACACCAACAGTACTGGCATTGTCCTCTGCCTTGGACTGTGAGTCCTATCTTTCTCAGCTCACCGAGGAACATCCTTTACTGTATGAAAATATTGCTTATTAGCAAATGTGAAACTTAAGAGGTTTATGGTTAAAAGGGCCTTTTTCAGACCTTGCAAAGCAGCTACGTCTTGTGAAACATGATGGCCATATTTGTGTGTAAAACATTTTGTGTCTGAGATCATGTCTCCTTCCTATGACTGGCTATAAATCGAAGCAATTAGCAAAGACATTGTGTCCCAGGGAGCAACCTCTGTGGTTTAGTTGCTATCAAAAGTTCAGTGTTATTTAATAGTTCAGATGCCTGAAATTCATGCAGCCATGGCTCCCTATGCCTCAGTTTTCATTCACACAATTGGAGGTTTGTCTCAGCACTTAGCTGGTAGCAAATTATGAACTCTTCCTGTAGCATACAGCCTGTTGCCACATCTTGCTCTCAAGAAGGAATCAGTATGAAGAATAGAGTTACCTTACTTGGCCACTTAAAGTGGCAATATAGTGTTCTTGAGTACTGCTTTAAGTAGAAGAAGGGGCAGACCTCTGTCTTTCCTGATGGTACTTCAGTGTACCTGGGAGGAAAGCAGCCCATCAGAGTTTAATAACTAACATATGACTAGCTGACAAGACACAAACTGGTACTAAATCAGCTGATAACCTTTTTATTCAAAGTCATCAAGACAATCAGGAAGATTTTCATGTAACTTTCTGTTCAGGATTATAGTTCCCAAGCCATTTCCTGAGCCTTATGAATCTGGAACAGCTGAGATTTTCCTATGTTATTTTTGTGAAAGTTCATACAAACATCAAGTGTTTTTCATTTAAAGTTTCTCCAGCTGCCTACAAATTTTTGGTTGCTTGAATACAAGGCCAGGCCTACATGGCTGTTGTTTTATTGTTCACTTAGCTCAAGTGGAAAAAGGCTTAACCATATTAATCAAACATTCCAAATATATTTGCCATCAGCCTGAGGTCAAATGTGTTCGGTTTTAGCTTAGAAATATTTGTTGGACTAGTTCTGAGACATGATCTTGAAATGGAAACCTTTGTACTTAATGGTAGCAGTTAACGCATCTTAATTTTTGTATTTGTTATAAGAATTTATGGCAAAATATGTTCACCAAATATTCTGGTTAATTATGCTATCCTTTACTACCATATAAGCATATTTATTACACTATTCAGATACTTTTTCAGATTGAAATGAATTTATTTTTGAAACTTTTTTTTTTCTGTTTTATAGCAACAACAGACCAGCAAGCCTCCTCTTTTGAAATGGAGATGTCTCAGGCTGGTTTCAGTGCTCATTACTCTCAGGTAAATAAACTGTTTGAAAATACAAGTTCTTTTACAAAGTAGATTTTGTTGGTGATGGCATGAATTTGGATGAGTGTTTCAGAATTCTTTTTACAGTCCTGTTTGCTGTTTACCTCATTTCTTAGGGGGTAAATATTTATTAAACTGGGATGCAAAAAAACTTTGGAATTTGTATTAGCAGAAAAATCACTTCCTAAGTATTTCATTTATTCTTGAAAATCAAAAAGTATCCATTGATACTGATGATCTACTCAGTGTACATGCATGAAATTAAAATTTAACATGAGATGAAAAGAACGGGAAGAGTTAAGCTTTAAAGACACAAAAATGCACTGATAGTGGAAAGGAGCACAGAAGGAGAATAACTGAATGGAACTGAATAAATGCTAAGAAATCTGAGATACATTCACATATATATTCAATATGGCTTTGTATAGAGCTCAACATATCACTGGGAAAAAGAAAGAATAAAATACCTTGGTGTGATTTAATATAGATACATTATTGCAGAAGTACTCTCTGTTAATTTTTACTCTCTGCACTACATTACACATAATGTTCCAGATGGTGTATCATACCTTAAAAACAGGTATTATCCTGTTAGGGAGTATGAGGATTATTTATAAAATTATCTGTTTGGTAGAGCATATTCTTAAAGTTCACAAACAAATGACCTGCTGTCATCAGAAGCTCACTTCAGAGCCTCTCTTCAGTCCTTGGTGTCTTGACAGACATGAGGTCAGTGAAGTTTGTCTTATCTGGAAGGTTACAGTCATGCCTTTAGGCAAGAAAGGCCAGCAAACCATTTCTCATGGGCAAAAGGCTCCTGCATAATATACAAGACTCAGAGATTCAACAGAGTTCAAGTTTGAAAGTTTGTTTGGGAAGCGTATTCTCTCGTTAGCTTTTTAAATCCCTTTGCCTTTCTGTTTGTCCTGGAATGGTGGGATGAAGTTAAAGGAGCTGCATTTCTTTCTGCTGCTTTTCCTGAATGTCCTGAATGACCATTTTAAGTTGGGTGCATTTTTAACAAAAAGTACGATATACTATGATTGTAGTAGCCATACTATAATAGAAAAAACAGGGCAAAATAAGCGAGTATACAAGAAGCATTACCCAAATGTAAGCATCATGATCATTGAATGTCTTAAAGATAGGTCACACAGCTTTTTGTTTTTCTCTGCATAAGGATTGGATCATGCTTGGAGCAGTTGGAGCATATGACTGGAATGGCACAGTGATCATGGTGAAGGACAGTGATATTTCAATGCCAACTAATGGCACTTTTCGTGACAGGCATTCAGAAAAAAATGAACCCCTTGCAGCCTATCTAGGTGAGAGAAATAGCCCATCTTATAACACTTTTCAACAAATGCTACAAGATCTGTCCCAAATCTCATTCAGAAAGAGTGTCTTACAGAATAATATCTTAGATTCTAGGAGTCTGGGAAGATTTCTAATGTATAAACATGTCTACTGTATGATTTTCTTGTTCTTAAAAAAAAAAAAATTGCTCCTTCTGCAATAAAAAAGTAGTCCAAACACTTACATACCTATGTATATCTATATTTTCCCTAATAAACATGTCTAATCTGTTCAGAGATTTCACAGATTAGTCTAGTATTCTTATAAAATTTTTCTATGCCTTGATATTTTAAAAAATGTACAATATTAAGTCTAAATCTTTGTTTAAAATTAAGCTAATTTCTGTCACTCAATGGATAAGAACAACCATTTACCACTATGTTTTTTTTTAACAATTGGCAAGCTTTTGTTTTCCTCTCAGCCTTTTCTACAAAAAAGCACTGGTGGCCCTGTTCTCTCCTGTAGGGCTTGCTTTCTACACCTCATGGTTCTGTTCACTCTGCTATCTCCTTTAGTTCACATTTTTGCTGATGAAGAGACAACACTAGAATAATTTATTTTTTTTTTTTTCCCAAGCACTCTATTTTTCTTCTTTGCAGAATGTGATTAGAGGGGTTTTTCATATCTCAAATTCAGTAAAGTAATTTTAAATTTAGATCCTGTCCTCTATAATACTTGCAACCCTGACACCACTTTGATTGATACACAATTTTTTTAAGTCTTTCTTCACCCAAGTTGTTAAATTGTTGTTAATATTAAACAGAGCTAGGTTCAAAATGTCCTCAGAATCACATCTGGATAACACTATTAGTTTGACAGTGAAACGATGTCAGCTGTTCTTTGAAAGTAGCTTGTCAATCAGCTACTCACGAGTTATTTATCAGTACCATTATATTCCTTACACTGTGTGCGGATGGCAAAATGAACATGACTCACCAAGCCTGCAAACAGGTTCAGTAACAGTTGTGCTCATGACTGAGACTGTAGGCAAATGCATATCCAGCCCCTTTGACAAACTCTGCTATTACTCTCTAGAATATTTAGGGTTAAACATCTAGTTGTACAATAACCCTTAAATTATTAATCAGAAGTTATTTCTAATACACATATGCATTTTGTGTGTACTGCATCTTAAATTCTGCTTCCTAGGATATACTGTGAATTCAGCACTGACACCTGGAGGCGTGCTGTACATAGCAGGACAGCCACGATACAATCACACTGGCCAAGTTATCATTTATAAAATGGAAGGAAGAGAGGTACAAGTACTTCAGAGGTTAAATGGAGAACAGGTAAGTATGTATTCATGATTAACTACCAGTGGAATATGGCATGAGAAGTAGATACTATGATTTCAAATGAGAACTCCGCACCAGGAGAGTATTTGAAACTGTGAGTTGTAAGCAAGATTAGAAGGAAAGGTTAGGTAGATACTCTGGTATAATAAATAATGGAAAGTGGACTATATAGTAGTCAAAGGCTCTTGGAAATTTTCCCATTGAGGGGAGAAGTGCTACTCCCCTTAGCACATAGAAGGCACCATTTGTACCTTCCAAACTCAAAGAGAGTTGAAAGTTGAATGGGCCATTCTCAAATTAAAAAATCTGACAACAAAACCTAAAACAGAAAACAAGCTTCAACAGCAAACAGACCAAAAAGGTCTTCTAAGTGACAAAGAAGATTCCTGCTGAATGGTTTTCATTTGGCACAGTTGTAAGCAATTGTAGAACCGGTCTCTGAAAAGGCAATGTGCATGACGTTACTGACTGATTTATACCATATATTTTCTCACAGATTGGATCATACTTTGGGGGTGTTCTTACCACAGTTGACATCAATAGAGACTCATTTACAGACCTTCTTCTTGTTGGAGCGCCTATGTATATGGGAACTGAGAAAGAGGAGCAAGGGAAAGTATATATTTATAGTCTGAACAAGGTAAGGATGCTCCTTATTGTCTCATGTCCTTATTTTAAAGATATACGATCATCTAAGTTGGGGAAGGTGAGCTGCTGAATTTAGCGACACATGATTTTGTCAATTGAAAGCAGTACACAGATTGATTTTGAAAACTTCCTTTCGAAGTCTTGTTTTCTCACTTTTTTTTTTCTAACAGACTATATACATAGACAAGCATGTAACATATAACTATATACAGCATATATATATGTAACTATATAACATATAACAGCGTAACTATATACATATATATAGTGTGTGTGTATATATATATATATACACATAGATAAGACATCCTGTAAGCGGCAATACAGCATAGACAGAAATCTATAGAATTAGTTTTCTATCATATTTTCTTTTTGCTTTCACAGATTAGGGAACTGTAGGGCTCATCCATCCTAAAAGTGTGCTCCAGTATCCTTGTGACTTGCTTACCAACCTAGAGATAAACACATCCAACAGCTTTTAAGCACGTCACAGCTAGACTGAGGAATATGTCAACTACACCACAGCTTCTTCATTTGATAAGTCTTGCTTCAAATACATACTTTTTCTTCTTTTTTTCTTCTTTTAAATTGATGCCATTGTATATTGTTATAACAGTTATCAAAATATGGCCTAGCAATGGTGGCCTCCTAAAATGCTATTGTAAGAAAACGACCTGAGGAGGCTGGATCTATTTGACAAGGAACTCTTCCAGTTTCTACATGCATGTTGCTAACAACAAATTGCTGGTGAAGAGGGTTGGCAAGAAAACAAGAATTCCATGTCCTCCAGTAATGTGAGGTTTGAAATTTGTTTTTCCTGTGTTTCCTTTTATCCATCTCCAAATAAAGGAGATGCAGCAACTGCTTGCTGCTGATGAACTCTTAACATGGAACTCATGGGACCCATCTCTTTGAAAGATTGGTTACATAGCATACTGTCTATATGGTTTTAGTCTAGTGTGCACATGGGACCAGAAGGATACATAAGTTAGGCCATGGAGTATATGTCTACTGAGGACAGAATTCAGTCTATATAAGATAAATGCTGGGTTTTATTCTGGAATAACAGTATTGCCATCTGTGTTTCATCGGAAACTTGGCTAACTTCTCAGATTAAGAGAATGCCTTTAGAAAAGCTCTTTACACTGTCTTAAAATGAAGTGGTCTACTTGCAATGACAACCAAATATGGTTATGATACTGTGCTTTCCTGCAAACCACTAACTTCAAGAAGTACATTGAAGCACCTAGATGCAGAAAGAGAGCAAGAATGTCTTTCCCACCTGCTTCTCAAAAAGAATATTTGAATTATATTTACGGACTCACAGTTTCCATAGTGCACTCAATCACTAGAAATAGGATGTAATTGTTTCATTTAATTCATCAAGTTGTCTTCCAGACAGGATCTCTTAAAAACCTGCATTGCTAAAATGTTGATGGAAAACCACAAACTTTAAATCTGCTCTTTCACAGACAAAGTTTGAATACCAGATGAGTCTTGAACCTGTAAAGCAAACATGCTGTTCGCCACTAAAACAGGACACCTGCAAAGTCCTCAAGAATGAGCCTTGTGGTGCGCGCTTCGGGACTGCAATTGCTGCAGTGAAGGATCTCAATCTTGATGGATATAATGACATTGTAATAGGCTCTCCGTTAGAGGATGATCATCGGGGAGCTGTTTATATTTATCATGGCAGTGGCAACACAATCAGTAAAAAATATTCGCAGGTATGAAATCAAACTTTAGATTGTCAGCTGCTGTAACATAAATCCGTTTCCCTATGTCTTCCCAAAATATTGCCAAACTATGACTTGATTGGTCATAACAGCTTGGTTTTTGAGAAGCTCTGTACTTCCAAACTGTCACTGATTTAACTGAATTTCACTCTGTTAGAAAATATATTTGCTTGTTTTTAATAGAAACCTTATGAAATGTTCTGTACAGCCAGAAGAGTAAATATTTGGCAATTCTTAAAATTTACAGTGTTTTCATCACCATGGTAACTGCTTTAGGGGTATCATAATGAAAATGTAACATATTTTAAGAATCTAAAAGTCATCAAACTGCCAACAAGTGCATCTTGAATGTTCTTATAAAATTCCTCAATATACACTGCATAAACCTCTTAATGCTTTTCACAGCGTATTGCATCAGGTGGAGATGGGGAAAAAGTTAAATTTTTCGGCCAGTCTGTGCATGGAGAAATGGATTTAAATGATGATGGACTGATTGATGTTACCATTGGAGGCCTTGGTGGGGCTGCCCTCTTCTGGTACGGATACTCACAGCAGTTGTCAGGCCAGAAAATAACCGTTTGTATTGGGAGATCTGTGTAACTTGCATGCGCTACTGTTTGGACTGTTGTGAGGGTACTGGTTTCATCTCATGTTTTGACACTGGCTGTGAATCTTTGTCTTTTCACGTGTTTCTGGAGGAAAAAGTATAGAACTTAGTGGATAACAGTAATAAATACAGGAATGTTTTAGAAATCTTGTTAGCCTAGTATGACCTTGTTCTACTAGGCCATATTCAAAATAGAAACTGATTCCACTTGTAGCACGAACTAAAAGAAGTAAAACCCAAGGTTTTTTTCTTTTTCATGCTGTATTGCATATTATCTTATTAGCAATATCAAGCACAGGTTCAAAAACTTGGGAGTACTGGCTGACAAGAAATTCAACATGACCCAGCAATGTGCACTCACAGCCCAAAAAGCCAACCATATCCTGGGCTGCATCAAAAAGAGCATGACCTGCTGCTCTCCTGATGCAGGAGATAGGAAAATAGATATTTTGCCAGCTAAATTTTCTGTTGGTTTAGAGCCCTGGCACCCAAAAGCAAAGAGCAGAATATACAGAGCGTATAGTTAATTACTTGTCTAGACCATCAAATATGTGTATTTTAATATTGAATGTTGCATATTTTGTAAGTTAATTCTCAAAGTAAAAAAAAGTTGCTGCTGTTATTTCCGAAGCACTTTCTCTGTGGTGTTTTTTTTTTAGGTCTCGTGATGTGGCTGAAGTAAATGTTTCCATGCAATTTACACCCAAAAGCATCAATATTCAACAACAAAATTGTCAGATAAATAAAAGAAAAACAATATGCATAAATGCTACAATTTGTTTTAAGACCAGACTAAAGTCAAAGGAATATACATTTGAATCCAGTAAGTAGATAAGTGCTAAGCTTGGAATCTTTATGCTATAAAACTGCTATGCTTGCTTTTGTGTATTTCTGCAAAAATGGAATGCAACCTCTTCTAAATTCACCATTCAAAGTGCATTTAAGATATGTTAGGAAAAAAAGAATGTGTAAAGGCAAACTGCTCCATAATATTGATCTCAACTTCCTTTGCAGGTCTGCAGTATTGGATTACTCTTGACTCACAAAGACAAATTTCTCGAAGCTTGTTCACAGAAAGCCATGAGAGGAAAATGCAAAAAAATATAACTATCAAAGGGTCAGAATGTATTAAACATAACTTCTACATGTTGGCAAGTAAATCATTTAAAGTGTTTGACATTATATTAGCCCAAAAATATTCCATTAATTGTAAATTGGGTAACAAAATCTGCAGCCAGAATTAAGAAGTGTACATAAAATTTGTTTACTACTTGAGAATTTATATATTTGTATATGTATAGAGATGTAAGCTATTTACTTAAATGTACAGTCTATTTACCTTTGTCTCTTTCTTTGTGTCTGTCTTAAGAAAGAGCATAACACACCTATTGGAACAAGCATCTATCCTGGTTAGTAGCTTAGATGCATTCAAAACCAAGCAGGAGTATGTGAGCTGGAAGTCTAATTTGCATATTGGTACAATTTCTCCTACTGAAATATAGTAGAAAAACATGCAAATTACGTTTGGGATAGAGAATACTTACTCACTGCAAAACAGAGATGTAATTAACAACTGTGAGTATGAAATTGCCTAGATTGTAAGTAATGTGCAGAGTGAATAGACATGTGCCCACATTTAAGATGTTTAGTGACTTCACAGTTGCACCATAATGAAAATGAATGATAAATGGTGCCCAAAATTTGCTTGAATATGCAATACATCTACTAACAACAGGCCTCAGTTGACTTAACACAAGGTGATACTGCTGCTGTTGCTACCTTCACACAAGGTGATACTGATCCTTTAAGCATGACTAAAAGAGGAAAGTTTCAGAGTAGGTTGTTCTGAGACATTTTTAAATGCAACTGTGTTGGATATGCTCAGGCTATGTGATATTTTATGATGAGATGAGATACACAAAAGTATTAATGGATATTTATAAGGATTGGTTTGCACATTAAATGCTTTATCATCGATTGCAAGCATTCAGTTGCTTCTCTAGCAAGGACGGCAGCAGTGTGAGTGAAAAATATTCTGTCTCAGCATTGTTTGGGATTTTTAACCTGCTTAGATATTAAAATGCATGTCTGTAACTGCAATTTTGTTTTCTTTATGTTCTAGGATAAGCCTGACTTTCAGGACTCTGTAAAGGTTTTGCTGGAGTTCAATTTTTCTGATCCAGAGAGTGGACCTGTTCTCGATAGCAACCTGCCAAGCTCAATATCTGAATATGTAAGTCAGCAAGACTGTGTTAATAACCAAAGTTTTTAAGGTAAAATTCATAGCGCACACAAGATCTGAAAGTATTGGCCACAAATTGGCTAAAGAGGGAGGGTCCTTGAGCTTGTCCAGAAGATGTTTCCTCTAAATGAGTCTTCAGGGGTGAAGAGCTTGATTCAGTGTGCTTGGGAAACAGCCTGGGGTTTTAAAGCATCCAGAGTTAACTGAAGATAGAGGACAAGCAATTTTTTTTTTTTTTTTTTTTTTTTTTTAATGTAGATAGAGCAGGGGAAGGCTAGTCATTTACTTTGATGGTGTTTGGCATCATTCATGCTTCTGCTATTGCCTCTTTTTCTAGTCTAGATGAGTCACTTAGAAGGGAATAGGTAGAAAGCTTACATTTTATCTGTGCATTTTACAGGATATTGGCATAATTAACTGATTAATATCAGGGAAGATTGGTTGTCAAACAGAAGACCTTATATAAGATTAGATAATGAATTAAAATGCAAGTATTTAATTTTAATAATAATTATAATAAAATTGAGAATAAAAATACTGTTGTTGCAGATTCCCTTCACAAAAGATTGTGGAGCCAAAAATAAATGCATTTCAGATCTTGTTCTGAATGTAAAAGCAAGCATAGCTGGAGACAGGTAACTACACTGGGTTTATTGTATCCATTGATATCTGTATAAAATTTCTCTCTAAATTACATATTCTCTGGTCTAATAAGATAATGCTGTGACATAATTTCCAAATCAGAAACAGTATAGTCTGGACAATGAAAGAAGTTCCTCTTTATGTCAAAACAGATTAAAAAGTTAAGGTGTCCAACATTCTTACTTTATTTTACAGCTCTTCTCCATTCATTGTAAAGTCACGCAATGATAAGTTCACCATCCAGCTCTCTGTGAAGAACAAAAAAGACAGTGCCTATAATACCAGAGTTTTGGTTCAGTATTCTCCAAATATTATTTTTGCTGGCATTGAGGTATGAATTTTTCACTATGTCACATTTATCATAACCTATATTGCTGGAGAGATCTGAGGAAACCTTTTTGTTACACCCAAATTCTACTCCTCTGGCATCATCAGTTTTTTTGAAAAATGCTGTCCTTGCTTATCTTTCAAAAAGAGTGTATTTATTTTGACCTGAGTGGACTTTTGCCTCATCTCTGTTAACTACAGACACAAGTTTCACAATGCCACTTAGACAGTAAGTGCTTGCATCTTAGATGAACATCAGCACCATGAACCATCTGTACATCTGCAGAGCCAGAAATGCTTTTTTATTTGTCAGTACAGCTCCTGAGCCCCTAGAATTCTTGCATGTGCACAGAAAAATCTCTTGTCTTGGTAAAGCAGCACAGAGCAGTGCCTTCCTCATCCCTATCTCAGACAGCATTTCTGCCTGCCTCAGCTATGTTACACATGCACCTCATTGCGGGTAGGAAACATTAAGAGAAGTTAGTTTTTCTATCAACAGTTGCACATTAGGAAAAGTCAGGGATCCACAGCACCATTGTTGACCGTGTTGCGGTAATTTACAGAGTAAGAATGTCACTATTATTGCGAAGTTAGAAACACATTTACAAAATTACTTGTAAAGACTGTAATAATGCATATGTTGATCTGCTACACCCTATGACTAATTTGCATGGTGTCCAGTTTGCATATAACTGTTAATGTTCCTAACAATTTCACTGGAAGGAAATAATGGCTGCTAATTTATGTAGATTTCTATAGGTGGAAATTATTTTCCAGAAGTTGCAACTTCCTATTCCCATTCAAGTTAAATTAAGGCTATGACTTTTAAGACATGATGATGAAAAGCAGCAACGGTATATATGTTCAACAGGTCCTTGATGCCTAGTGAAGAGTCTGCAAAACGCCATGATTTCACCTTCTTTTTTTCTATAGGATATACAGAAAGATAGCTGTGAATCTAATCACAACATCACCTGTAAAGTGGGATATCCATTTCTAAAAACTGCAGAAGAGGTAAAAAGTCCCCCTGTATTCTCCTTGCTCAGTGTTGTTCTAAGGCCAAGGCAGTCCCCATCAGTGCTGAATTTCTTTTCTCTTGTGTTCACTCCAAAACCTATCCATGTATGTTTCCTAATCTACCATTGACATGAACTGCACAGACAGGAAAACATTAAATTTGGCCAGAAGGGTCTCACTCCAGGTATACAGAATATTGGTTAGGATATGCTGATAAGATACTTTATATACTTTGTATATAAAACTTACTTGGTTGAAAAGAGAGTAGGCTGGTATTTGGAAATGCTAAACTGGATCTGCCACAGACAGGTATCAGGTGTTCACCTCTGTTTAGTGGGGAGTGAGAAGTGTTTCCAGCAAGCAGTCCGCTTAAAGTCAAGCTCCAGCGTCAACAGCTCCAGGAATAAGTCTGTATCTCCTGCTGGAATAGAGAGCGAGCTTTAGATAAACTAAGCCTTTGAAAATATGCATCTAAACCTAACTGAAATAGTTCTGGTATTGAACTGGAAAAGGCCAAATTGCATGCAAATGAGACCAACTGTCTTTTCTGGCAGTTTTTTGTCTATTCCTCTGGCATATGAGATCTGTGTTGCCGATACAAAACAGCAGGAGAGTTGTTCTTTTACATTGCCTTCTGCATGCACCTTCGAGCTTGTGTCTTGGACTTACTCATAGGAATTAAGTGAGCTGTTAACTTTGTTGCAGCCAAATAAGCATAATACCCAAGGCCAGTGCCCACAGTGCTCCATTCACAGCTTTACGGGACTTTTCACATTTTCCTTTCATGCTTTTTTGGTTAGTTTATCTGTGGCTGTAGATCCCCAAATTTAGAAATATTATATTCTTATTTGCATTCAGAACTCAATCTGATTCACTGATAAGCTTCCCTAATAAACTCTTTTTTAAAGACACTCCCGGCTCTTTTTGCTGTTTTTTAAATGTGAAGAAATACGTAAGACAACTTTCTCTGGGTCACTTTGTAGGAATATTTGTTAATATTAAAGAAAAAAATGAAAGTCTGAGCAAAAAAATCCATTACAGTAACAAATAATAAAGCTTTTGCTTCATATAAAATTATCCTTAAGTGTCAGCATATGAAGGACATGTTTAGCACAGTGTTCCCAGATTTTATATACTGCCAAACTGTGGTAGATTTGCCCTAGTTATAATGAATAGGGAATTTTTGTGAGACCTAGTAGTCATTTATTTGCATTGTGAACATTTCTGTTTGGTATTCTTGGTGTTTAACTGTATATTAATTGAGTCCAGTAGCCTTCTATAGAAAGCTCATCTTCACTGTCGTGGTCAGGTGCTGAAGCTTTGTTTCTTCCTCATTAGAGAAGGGGAAAAAGAAAAATATTTTTTTTTTTTATATATTGCTTGTAAGACCAGTTGGTTTCTATTAAGAATTATTTAGCCATGGATTTCTAATATACTGTAGAGTAAGTTTTACTGAGGCTTCTTAGTTCTAAAAATTTGAGGATTCCCTTATAGAAAACTTAAAATGTGAATACAGATTCTATATATAAAAGTAGCAAAAATGTGCCCATTTTTCATCAGATCAAACCATATCAGTATGCTTTTTTTTCTCTCTTCTTTTAAAATGTGTAATGTATTTCCCTAAACAGATTTCTTTCAAAATATCGTTCCAATTCAATGCATCGTATCTCCTGGAAAATGCTACCATTCATGTATACGCAACAAGGTTAGTTGCAATCCTTACTTGTTCACCTTCTGATTTTTGGTTTGGTTTTGTTGTTTTTTTTTTTCCTTAGAAAGCTCCACAGCTTTGTATTTCATTATAAAGCAAGGATGACTTTTCTGAGCTCAGAAGTAGAGTTAGAACCTTTACAGAAGTACTCAGTCCAGCAGTAGAGTAATGGAGTAAATAAATAGTGGTTTGTCTCTAGAGACTGAGAGTCACAAATAAGGCATAATTTCCAATACGTTTACCTTCAGAAAAGATTTATTCTCTTAAAAAATTACTACCTATTTTAGCAGGAATCACAGTTCATGCTAAACAAAAAGATCTGGCCTTCAAAGTGGAAGAGCGTTGCAGAAGTTGTCTGTGATAAAGGAATGAACTTGCCCCCAGTGTTTGTTTTCCCTGAAAAATCCAGGGATGGTGTGAGATTAGTGACCCTTCCTTGGCCCATTTTCATTCAGTCAACTGCAGTCTGTAATTTTAACAAAGAGCTGGGGCTGATGCAGGATTTAACTTTTCAGTTACTGGAAATATTATTTTGAATTTATTGTTAAAAGGTACTAATTAACTGGAGAGGAGTAGTGATTTTATACCTAGATATGTATTTGTTTCTTAAGATCCCTTCACACTCAGTAGTCATTTTGTGTATGCATAGTCTGATCTCAGTGGCATGTGTTGTTTTTTTTAGTGACAGTGAAGAACCACCTGAGACCTTGAGTGACAACAGAGGACACATAACAATTCCTATAAAATACGAAGTAGGATTAATATTTGTAAGGTATGCTTCTGTGTGCTTTATTTACTAGCACAGTAAATAGCAGATGTTCAAAGAGAATATAGGGTTGTTGTTGAGCTGTGCTGAATATGTACACATGACAGCTTCTAGTCTCTTGAACAGGAAGCACAGGCTACATGGAAAAGAGCAGTTACACAAACTAATGGAGCAGTTACTGTCCCTATCTTGCTGCATCTCCATGTTATCTATTTAGATTTGATCTGCTGTTTGCAAGTACAACAGCAGCTTTTGTTGATTCTTGTACTTTGCTCTCTTCTTTCAAAGGCATTTCAGGTATGTAAGAAAGCAAATACTTGCAACTTCCTGATGGCCATGAGTTCATGTCACTATAATATTGCATGGTGTGGTGTTTGATTTCCAGCTTCAAAAATTACCTTTAATTTTAGATTCTCAGGAGCTTGTTTTTATCAACTCAAACATAAACTTTAATGCACATCTTGTAATACACTTTATTTTCAGAAATATCTAGAATGCAGTTAAATTCCATCCCAGAAAAACATTATTAATATTATCAGTAGACTACATTGCATGGTGAACAGGTGTAAATAATTAAGTCAGATTAATTTTGGATGCATTTCATGGTGCAAATCTAGACTTCTTTTGTCCTGTAGGGAATAAGGATGAATACAGAAACTGATTTTGTTCTCTTTTAATTTGGTTCTCTCTTTCTTAGGACCCTCCCTATTTCACGTGGCAATAGTCAGGATAAGGGACTGCATGGCTAGAATAACAACAGCAAAATTGGGCCCTGTATATTCTTAGGAACAATATTTGCTTATTTTATAATTTCATGAGAACACAACATTTAAATGTGCATAATGAAAAGTTAATACTATTCAAAAAAATGGGGGGGTTAAACTCCAATGGAAGTAGTAGTGCATTCTTAATTGAGAGTAGTCCTGGGGGTTTCATGAAATAATGAAAATATCTATATTATTAAGTGCTGCAGTTTTTATGAAGTTTGTGTGCTTACTGGGTTTTTTTGGTTGTGTTATTTGTTGTTGTTTTTTTTTTTAAATCCGCAGTGTTTTCAAAGAGCACCATGTTATAATTGCAGCAAATGATACTGTCCCTACTGCCATTAACACAACAGAGCAGATTGGAGATGAAGTTACCCTACATTATAGGGTAAGAAACCATTAAAACCATAAAAATTAGTTTGCATTACTTAATGTGATAGCCTATTACTTTAATAGAAGATGTGCAGTATGTTAAACCTTCTACGTGGGTATTTTGTGTTCAACAACTTTTTTTTCTTTTTGCTTGCTTTGGAATAAGGTGAGTCAGAGGTTTTCAGAGTGGTCCATCCCTGTAGAATAGTTCTAGTGGGGTTTAGAGCTGCTACCCTCAGCAGGAGAGAGCTAACATGCCGTGGTAAATGAGAACTTGACCTATGTACATTGCAGTTTAGAAAAGGTATTTTCAAAATCCAGTCAGCTTTGAAAAAGGCAAATGCCATGCTTGAAGAATGTTGTCTTCCCAATGGAATGAATACTGCAAACTAAAATCACTTGTGAAAGATACTTAATGGATTAGAAGCCCAACCTCAAGTTGAAATAGGATTGAATTCAATTACATTTAGAGCTGCCAGCAGCTTATCACAAATGATGTCTGAAGAAAAAGGTTCTTTATCTTTACTGAGCTTGTCCACTTCAGAGTCAGGATCACCCGTTACCCCTGCCAGCAATTCCACCTAGGAGTTTTCTCCACCTTTGGCCACAGCAGCCTGGTCAAAAGGAGCAGCAGCCTACAGATGTATCGCATGATCTTCTCAGGAAAAATAGGAGAGAGGAGCAGGTGAGCAGGAGGGCTGCTATATAAGCACACCTGAGGAGTACCTGGCAGGAGCCTTTGCTGTTACAGTGGCTCCTATCCCATCTTAAAGCATTTTGGGTCTTTATTAAAAATTAAAATGAAATTGCTATAGGTAGAAATCCCAGATGATAAAGAGGATGCAGTAAGCAAGATAACAAGAAGAAATTTATTTTAAAATTGCCTCTTTCATCCTGTTCCTTTGATTTTCTTCAATAATGCATTTTATTACAAAGACCACGGAAGAATACATTTGCTAGTTCACAACAGGCTGTTCTCAGGGAAAAGAGTTCATCACACCACATTTTGTATAACCGACTATGAGAACATAAAAAATAAAAATAAAAATAAATCACAAAAGAAAAGGAAAACCAGGAAAGGGAAAAAAATCACAATCAAATACCATCAAAATAAGGAAAGTACTAATCAAAACCTTTTTTTTTTTTATAGGTTGAAAAAGGTGAACATTTTCCAATGCCAAACCTCACACTGCAGATCTTATTTCCCAATGTAACTGCAGCCAAGAACACTCTTCTCTACCTTACTGCATTGTCACATTCCCAAGTAAGCTAGGAATTTACATTTTTATACTTAATTTAAATTTGAATTTTTTTCTTGTAAGGAATTGCATAATGCAAACATTTGTGGTTATACCTTGCTTCAAGGTAGATGCAGCTTTTAGTCTAAAAGACAGGATGGTGGTCTTTTAAGCATATGTACAGATATGTATGACAGAAATTTATTTAAAAGAAGCAAGTGATTTTAAAATGATGTTGAACAATAACTGTACTATAACAAGGTTAATCTGATATATTGCCAAGTGATTAAAGGTTCAAACTGAGATAAGAGCAACAGGAGTTTCTTTCTTAGTTTTGTCTACTGAGCCTCAGATTATCTCTATTGCAGTCAGTGCTTATTGCAGCGCTTAGTGCTTATTGCTGCTGTGTACACCTAGAGCTCAATCTCCTGTTTAGTCCTCTTCTTTCTGTTACTGAAATTAGCCTTCTTGCACGTCTCCTCTCCAGCACTAGCAGTCCTCTGGCTTCTTCCTCCTCTGGGGCACTGAGACATCTTGAAGGGGATGGTAGGTCATGTCTTTCAAATGCTCTTCACTGCAGCCCTCATTTGAGTTTTTTCCATTTCACTCCTCCAGAGCAACTGAAGGAGATCCCAATTCCAGCAAGTCACATAAATTCAGTTCTGTATATATTAAAACTAGAGCTATATGAGTAACTGGATGGCTGAAGAAGCCAAATAACAATAAGTGATGACCTAAACCTGTTTGTTTTTTTTTAATCTTCCCCTCAGAAACAGACACGCATGTGCCTCTCTCCAAATATTTAATTTAGTTTTGAGATGTTGCACCACTAAAACCTAAATCACATGATCTAAATGAAAGCTCAAGCTTCATTTTAAAACCAAAAAAATCCCTCAACCCCAAAATATTTCATGTTTAGAATATAAAAAATTGCGTCTGTTCTTAAATTCCTTTCCCATTAGTTTCGTTGCTACAAAATCACACATTTGACCCATGTTTGCACACAAACTCAACAAATCTGTACTTTTCCTGTGGGTATAATTCATCTACCACTACTTACGCTGTATTGATAGTAGTTTGCCAAAGTGCTCTGCAGGGGTTTGCAATCCTCTTCATGCTAGCAATCTGAAAGTGAATGAGCTGACTAAGAAAACAAATTCCCCTATTCCAAAGACACCAGAAGATTTTCCAGCTGCCTTTGAAGGAGCCATGGAGTTCTAGCAGTGCTCCAGCACCTGCTGTGCCTCCATGGAGGCTCCTGAATCTTACACTTAACCTGCCTGTCTGCTTGCTAAGGCAGAACCTCTGTGGATTCCTATGCAAAAGGTATTTAGCTTTCCTAATAGCTAATTCTTGCTGGTTCGTGTAGCTGTCATCTTGCAGGAAGCTCTGGTTTGCTTCTACATATGTCTAGGTAGCTGGGTAGAGTTTAAATTAAATTATCTCATAACAAGCTCTTTTGTTGTTTGAATAATGATACTTTAGTACCTACACCATCTGAGTTTCCTATTTCACTATCTTGCAATATGCAGTTTTGTTACATTTAGCAGTTTGTAAATATTATTGATATTATTAAATATTATTATTGTTGCCCTGTTTGCAGAATATTTTTTGTAATAGATTGTATATGCAGACAATAAGAGTAATATTTGTATTTCTACTGACAGAATACCATCTGCCAAGCTAGTTACCCTGTAGATCCCTTAAGGATCAGCACTGGGAAATCATTTGTGGTTCCAAAAATAAAAGAACCTACAAAGGATACAATTATGGTAAGACTACATATAGTATACATATTCATTCCAGATACTAACCTAGATCTTGGAGCTGATTACTTATGCAATAAATACATAAAAGCTTCTCTCAAACTGTATACTATGGAAACATTTTGTCTCAATAACCTCAAAAGCTATCTTTATGCAGACTAGCTGTAGATTTTACTCGGCTACAAAACTGTATGTGGAACTGAATTGTTTTGTAGTTTTGGTTTTTTTTAATTTAGCAAATGTGTAAACAACGGTAGCACATTTGACAGTTGAGTAAATCTCCACCTTCTATATTCCCACGGTAATTACTAAATAGTAATATTTTAAGAGCTTCTCATCTCCCTTGCAATATTTTTAGATATCCAGTTGAAAGTATTTTCAAATGCTGGCACTCTGATCTGACAGATTTTCTGTGCAGCTGGTAGAAATATAATTAATGATCTCATCTGGAAAAGATTAGCCTTTCACATTTAAATGGGAGAGTTGCAAAGTAATTTTGCTGCCAGAATTGTGTTGGCATGTCAGAGGGAAACCTTCATACTACCTCCTCAACATAGAGGTACAAGTTGAATTTCTTATGTGAATGAAACCATGCCATAAGAAGAATATTTTGCCAGCTTATCATAGTCCTTTACAGTGGTGATAAAAGTCTAGGCTGTGCAAATATTCCCAAGTGTTGAACATAATTCTGCTGCCCTCCCAGCTAGCAAGTGATACTGGGAAGTAAAGATACTTACATTTTCTCTCACATATCCTCCCCTGCTTGAAAGATTCATGTGTAACATGATTTGAAAGGATCAAGAAACACTGCAGAGAAGCCATAGGTGTGTTAGCAGAAAAACACTGGCTGTTATAAACTATGCCGCCTTTAGGAACGTAGCTGTTGTCTTTTCCTATGTACATACAGTAACAAAGCTTTCTCAAGGCTAAGCAAACCTGCGATAGCTGAATGTATTCTACCACAGCATGAATATCTCAACTCAGTTTATATATTATATACTGCAGTGTCATTTTTACATAAAAAAATTTACGTAAGAATTTTTACATATAATTCATATCAGGTTAGTACTAGTGTCATAGCAAGTCTATGATCTGTATATATTCTTTTCTGTGAGGGTGCTGAGGCACTGGTACAAGGTACCCAGAGAAGCTGTGGATGCTCCATTCCTGGAAGTGTTCAAGGCTGGATGGGGCTTTGAGCAACCTGGTGGAAGGTATCCCTGCCTGTGGCATGGAGCTGGAATGAGATTTTCTCTAAGGTCACTTTTAACCCAAACCATTCTCTGTTTCTATGCTATATAGTAGTTTACATGTTTTTGTTTTAGTAACATGAAGTATCTTGCTATTGATTCTTGCTGGTGCCTTTTAAACAGGACTGTGATACATACAGCTGTGCATCTATTAATTGTGCCCTGGTCCCATCTGACTTATATCAAGTGAACATTTCATTAAGGGTTTGGAAACCTACCATCATAAAAGTAAGTAAATCCTATTTGTATTCAGAATACTCATGGGTTTAAGAAACTCGAGTTTCTGATGTCTATTAAAATCATACATTTCATTTTCTTAAGTCTCCACAGTCCCCTAGTATTTGAAACCATTTCTGTTGCTATTTTAAGATTTCCTCAAATCTGAGTTACATGTATTTTGCTATCCTTAAAGAAAGTACTTAGAACCTAGCAGGAATTTCTTACCTAGCAGGTAAAAAGGCACCTTATTCTGTATTAATGGTACTTTTTTGAATAGTTGTTATTTATACACCCACAAATTCTAATTCAGCATATATAAGGAGGGGTATATAGAAGAATATAATTTTAAAATGATTTCTAATCTGGAAAGATTTCTCAAGTCTTAAAAATATTTTTTCATCAAACAGAGCAGAGGAGAGAAAGTGCACTCCAGCTCACTACTGTCTTGATGGTTACAACAGTGACCAGGCTGTGGTCCATTTTGCCCAGTGATACTGAGCTCCTGGTTTGTGTCTTTTTTAATGGAAAGGACAGGAGGGGAGATACAGCAGAATTTTTATAAAGCCTGAATCTGCCCCTGTTTACAACGTAGTATTCCAGAATTACTTAGTATTTATTTGAAATCTCTGTGATCGACTCTTTCAAGTCTTCATCGCTATCTTGTAAACAGTGGTATATATGCTGAAGGTGTGACACACATAAGCAGCTTCACTGGCTTTCACATTTTTCAGCATATCCCAAAATGCAGCATAAAGTTTTGCTTTCACCCTTCTCTTCTCTACTTCAAAATACCTAATTATAAGCCATAGCCATTTCTTACTTTTTCCAGGCCAGTATTCACAGCTTAACCCTTGTTGTGAAAGCGTTACTTAGGAGTGAGAACTCGTCACTGATTCTGAGAAATGACCATCAAAAACTAGAGGTAAGGACATAATAATTCATGGGTTTACTTTCATTCATTTTCATTCATTCCTAGTGAACTGATTGTTACCTGTTTTATAGTATTATCTCAGTCTGAATAGGAGTGTTTTCATTATTATCGTAGAAATGTCAGAATTAGTCAGATAATGATACCAAAATCCCACTGCCCATCAATATACATGGGGGAGAAGTACTATCTGAAGTATTTCTGCCTGCTGCAGTATAAATGCTTCCTGCATCTATGTAAATTAAAAGCAATTCAAATTCTTTTAAGGAATCAATAGTATTTTAGAAGTTGTCCTGGGTCATTTAAGAGTGCTCTTACTTTGTGCATTCTATTTTCTTTATTATTTCTTTGTTTGTTATTACTTTCCACTTCAGCACCCTGGTTATATATTTGAAACGGGATCTTTTATCTTTTGGAATTTCCCTGTCATTTTCTTAGAAAAAAAAAAATCGTAGTAGTGGTGTCAAGTATAAAGAGAAACATCTTTAATTTGGAGTTGTTATTTATCCTTTAAGACTTGTTATTCCAACACATTTATAGTGGTTAATGCATTGCTTTTCTGCAATAACTTATACCTGCAGCGGCTTATTTACTAAAATGTACATTTTTAAGCAAAAGACTTAGTATGTTAATACCCCAAAATTTAGAGCAAAGTAATAATATAAATTACATCTTGTGCAAAATATTTTCAAAAATACAAATATGAAAGGTCAACTAATAGCTGCTATTGTATTTGAGCATTTCTTTTAAGCGATAGATTAAAATTCAATCCAGGAGTGAAACAGAGCTGGGAGACTTGTGTTTACACACCAAGGAATTTCAGAATTAACTTTTTTAAGACATAATTTCAAGTTGAATGTTTACTGTTCAACTCTTCAACTTTTTTGAACTTTTTTGAACTCTAATAAATTCTTAAAATAATTCAAACTCCCATATGGTCACATTTATTTAAATGTGAAAATTCCTTATTTCAGTTTAGTTTGCACCAGATGTGCCTTGTTTAAAATCAAATTAGTATCTACACAGCCTTCTGCACTTATTTTGTTTAACTGGTTTAGAAGGTTGTTGATCACTGCCACCTTTTAGGGAGGCTGGCAGTGGGGGATCAAGAATATCCTAAAGAAAATTCTCAACATACACTTCATGTATTCATTTTTTTGCCCTGTATCCATTATAACAGTGATTACTGACTTACAGCAGGGCTGGCCCTCATGAAATGCGTGCACTTAAAAAGTGCAAGATACTATGTAAATATCGGGGCTTGTGTTGCAGATTATTTTCCCATTCCCTCCTACAAATTCCTGTACTTAAAATGAAGCACCCATGAAAATCACTGCATGCTGCTAAAAAGTCACGCTGCTTTGTTGATATTTTAGAAGGAAAAGTTATTTACTGCTTATATTCTGAACAAATTGCAGACCATGATTAAGATTTCCAAAGAGCTTCCACCAGGTACAGTCCCCTTATGGGTTATCCTTCTGAGTATCTTCGCTGGACTCCTGATTCTTGCACTGCTTATATTTGCTTTGTGGAAGGTAAGCTGCATGTTCTTGTCTTCATGAAAATAAAAAAATATACTTAAATTTTCTGCTCACAGATACCACTTGAAACTTATATTGCCAATACGTTATGAAAAGAAAAATAAAAGATATTTTACTATGATTAAGGATTTATTAAGGGCAGGTTTTTTAGCTTTGGCTGTGGCCTTTGATAACCAGTTTTTTAGTTTGTGCAAGAGATGCTAGGCCTGTGGTGTAAGTATTGCCACAAGTGGGCACTCCAAGCTAAACATTTAGCATAGGAAGGTTACAGTTTATAAATTTCAACGTACCTAACCTCTTGAAAGATTTGACAAGTATAAAATACAGTATTATTTATACAAATTAATATCAAATATTATTAAGCATTTTAGCTTTTGACATTATGTGAGCATAACAATGGTTCAGCAATCACTCGCTGTATATTGTTTCCTTTTGTCTGCTTTTGCTACATGTCACTTTAGCTTTTCCATTCCAGGAAAAGCAATGCTGTATTAAAGTGACAAAATATTAAATCACTTCTTAACTGTACTGAAAGTATTAAAAAAAAAGTATTAAGAACCAGCACATGAACGCAACCAATATGGGTTGTATGCTTGAGCATTTTTTAGTCACTTTTTTTTTCTTTCCTTCAGGCTGGATTTTTCAAGAGACCACTAAAGAAGAAAATGGAGAAATGAATTAAAAGCAAAAAAAAAGCAGAAATTTTTGCTCAGGTCTGCCTCTAAAATGTTACTGTAAAATTATAAACTTAGATGCAGTGGTCAAAATTTTCTAAACTCTATAAACAAGAAGCAGAACAAGAAGCAAATCAAGCACACGTGCAAAGGAATGATGCAAAGAAAGAATAAACACACTTATGGCATTCTGTGATACTCAAGGACATGCTATAAGTATTACTCATTTTTGGAGAGTAACTGAGTTCAAAGATTCTAACATTTTTTAATATGAAAAATGCATAATCATATTTTTATATACAAATGTATATAGAACAATTTTTCACTCCAAATTATGCAAAAGTCAGCTTTTATGTAGCAATCCCAATCTTTTTTATCAACTTATAATTTTCAAAAGGAAAAAGCATCATTTTCCAAATTTCCTCCTTATCAGTTCTGTGAAAGCAAACTGCTAGTTCACAAAGCCAAACATACCAACTTCGAGAATGCACCAAATACTGTATCGTAACTGATGTAATAACAACTGAGAAGATAGAAGCACATGCAGAATTTTGGGTGAAAATTACTGAAGTACCTTGGCTTTCTTTTTCTGCTTGTTTTAGTGTGTCCAGCTGAACCCAGGATACTTCAAAAAAGAGATTTTTGTGGTCAAGTGGACCATAAAGGATTGATCCATTAAACTGTGTAACTGTTTGAACTTGAAAGAGATTTTTGGCAGGCCTAAAAATGTATGCACAAAACCTATCTTATTGCACACTGTACTCAAATAAGCAGGGCACAATTGTATCTGCAAATTGAAATATCCATATTTATGCAGAAAATGTTTAGAGGTACCCTGAAAGTTTAACTCTTGCTGTATATCTTGGAGTAGCCAGGAGGGTGCTTCATAAACTGTCACTGTAAATTTAGCATGTATCTATTTAATCCAATGAGTTTAACGTGTACAAAATTATAATTAACAAAAGAACACAGATAGGAAATTCAGCACTGGCAAGCTTCTAGTAAATTAAGTCGCACCTCATCTTTGTTACTTACGAGTTTAAGAAGTAGTGAAGAATTTGCATACTAAATAAGCACTTAACAAATTATGTTTATTTTTTGTCAAAGATTAAAAGTTTATATGAGACCACACTGAAATGTAGATAGCAAAAGATTTAAGAAATGTTTTCTTTCTAGTTACACTATTCTGTTTTTAACTTTCTTTCACATACTTGTCTTCCTTCTATGAAGATCTCTCACCAGGGCTCTATACCTTGTCCTTAAGAGCTTCCTATATTACTTACAGCCACACAAAATTTACAGAAGAAAATAGAAGCATGCTGGCAAAGTGCAGTTTTGCCTTAGCATGAGATGGCTTGCTATTGATTGCCAATAGGTCAGAAAATGTTGAGGAGACATCCTGAGTTTTATAAGACATACTGGTTTGTAGAAGAGTTTTGCCTTGCCAAGGAAGCCAGGAAAAAATGTTCCTTCTCTTGATACAAATGTCATTGAAGTGAAACCAAAATCATTGTAGGTTTCCAAAAGGTTTTAATCCAGCGCTGACTTTATAGCTTAAAAAGCAGTAATATATTTTATAAAGAGTTTTGTTTTCTTTTGGTTTGGGTTTGTTTTTGGTTTTTTTTCTGTAAAAAGAGACCATAGATTGGTTTGAACATGCTGGCAAGTACAACTCTGGAAGTGTGCCATGAGGTGCTTTACTGTTTGAAAGATGCTGTCACTCTTAAGTTCCTTCTGTTTAGCTCTTAGAGGGTAGTTCTTTCTAAGAAGTAGTTCTTTTTAAGGAAAAGGCTGAGACTATGTGGATGCAGCAAGTAAGATTAAGTTTGAAAGTGTTTGCAGTTTCTCCTTGTGTCTGTGGGAAAGGTGGTTATTTCCAGCAATAGTCTGCTGAAGGTAGCAGCATGACTCAGAGGAGAGGGCAAAGCCCTCCATGGGAACACTGTGGGTGGCTGTGCTTTGCGGAGACTGCGAGAGCCACTGAGTCGGCAGACTCGCTGGCTGTGCTCATCTGAGCACCTGGAAGTGCTCCCTCCCTATCTGGAGGGGCATGAGGTGAGTTGTCCTGGTTCTGAGCACAGAAGGAAGACTTGAATGGAAGAAAAAAGATGACATAGAGGAGTTGTGTATAGAATCCTTATTTCATTCCTTGTTTGAGTTTAGCTGTCCCTAAAGGAAAGCAAAAACCCATTTGTTGAACAGTGAAGATAAATTAATATTCATCAAGGAGTTTCAGTCCCATGTGAGATGCAGGTTTATTTTAAGTAAATGTATGATTTTTCCAATTTGGTTGAAAGATTTAAATGGCATTTGTCACTGTAGTATCTGAATGCCTCAGAATTGTAAATGTTTTTTCCTTACAGTATCTCTGTAAAGGCATAAAAGTGCTGTTACCCTATTATGGTTTGTAAAGGAACAGAATTATGAAGGAATTGTGACTCACCTATGCACACATAGAAAGCCTGTGGCAGCAGAGGAAATACTTATATTTATTATTATTCAGGCAGTTTGTTAACCATGAGGTCATTTTTCCTGGCTTCATAAAATTACTCACAGGTTATGCAAGCCATACATAATTTTTATGCAGCATACTTTTATTTTAAGTATTTTAGTTTTCAGTTGTGATAAGCTGTTAACCAGAGCTTTTTCTTTTCTGATGACACTTCATATCTTATTTTAAAGCATCAGCCTAACTGAAAAAATATGTCAATAAGACAGTCTTTTTCCCTAAATAAAGGCTACACGAAAATACATATTTTATCAATGCAAAGTATATTTGAGATCAGTGTTCCATTCTTTTTAGACTTGCTTTGCACTGTAAAAACAGTAATAAGCTTCATATAACCACACTGCTTCCCTTTGTCATGATGCTTTCACCCTTTTCACATTTGTCCTATTATCAGATTTTCATTTATAATATCTATTTAAAATGTAAGTATCTAAAGGGGATAGCACTATAGCACATTATTCTTACACACGCTAAATTAGTAAAATTGGGGATATCACTATAGCATGTTATTCTTACACAAGCTAAATTAGTAAAATTGATATTTTTATTCATAAGAGCCTTTCTACAGAGCACTGCAGGAGGAGTATTTTACTACTTTTCACTATATCCAACAGAAGAGTCTATTGAAAGCAATATTGCAAACATCGGGAACATCTCACGGAAATTTGGCAGGCAGAAAATATATCAGAACAGTGTGTAATCTATTTTGTTCCTATAAAAGGACACATTAGGGTTGCAATATGATTCTAATAACTAACAAGCTAAAATTTTTTTCATTCAAATTAAAGCCTATAGTAAATATATATATACATATACAGGGTTTATAGTCAGAGCTTAAGCGATGGAGGGACTCTGGTCCAGCTCAGTTCCTAATTTCAGCACTGAAGTAGCTAATCTTAAAGGGAATGGACAAACTACATTTCTATAGCATAGAACTTTTCTGCAAAGGAGCAAAAGCTTTAAACTATCACTCCTGCTTCAATTTGAGACAGTTCTAGAGGTTGCTGATCCCTTATGTAATTTTGGAAAGCTTAGAAAACAGCATGTACATTGGAGCAGTCTCCCTGGGCAGCTGCTTATGTTCCTGTACTTGTCTGGTGTCACTCTAAGTCTGTATTATGAGCCCTTGCTGCAGATGCAACCCACCTATCCTGATAGCTTACCTGAGCCCTTTAGTACATCTGTTCTGAGTCATTTTGAGCATGGTGTTCCTCTTCTGCAGAGCTTGAGTCAGGGGAATCTACCTTAAACTGGAGCCAAGGGTTTTCAGCTCACTTGGCACCCAGAGGCTGGAGTTAGGGTCATACTCGTGTAATGAATTCCACATAATCTGATTGTTTTAATTATTGATGTAATTATTTTATAGATCATGAGCCATTCAAAAGTTAAAGCAGAGCAAGAGAATCAGATTGTACCATCATTAATTATACTGCTTAACGGTAATATAAGGGAATTTCCATCTTATTTAAGAAAATCACAACTTCTGCACAGCAGTTTCTTTTTCATGTAAAATTATTCCATGTGTTTACTGATTAAAATAAAAATAAAGAGTTCCTGTAAAATTATTCCTTGTGTTTTATTGATTAAAAAAATATATAATTAAAAAGTCTAGCAAGGCTCTTTTGTAGTTTGTTTGCTTCTGTTGATATAAGAATAATATAAAGGCATCTCAGTACCTAAAACTGAATCCATGTACCTGCCTATTGTAGAAATTCTTGCATTCTTGCACAGCATAACATCAAGGAAAGCTTAAATGTGGTCAAGCTGTCAGAAATACATTGCCATTAATTGTATGGGTTCTGTACTTATAGCTACATTTGAAAGCTTTTCAGATGACCATACGACTTCCTGACACTTCATTAAAAAAAGTTGAAGACACATTTATTCATCTAACCATTCCTCCTATCCAGTGATTTTTATGTACAACTTATTCCTGTGACCCAGAATCCATTGTCCTGTATAGTTGTAAATAAGTCACATTTTCTTAAAGGCTAGTAAACATTTGTATCAAAACTTCCTAGAAGACAAAGATTACACCTTTTGTATCACAATTAACTTTTAGAAAACATTGCAAACCATGTAATTACCTAAAACTGTTAACTCATCAGAGACTACTTTGATGGTGAATCACAATTCTCTAAGAGCAACATCCTGTTTAGTCACAGGGGAGTGCTCACCAAAAGTCCTGCTCTGTATATACCTGAGTTTGCTGGACATTTTCCATGGGACTGTTCCAATGAAAATCAGAAAAAAAATCTAGTTTTTGTTTCTTTTAATTGCTTTTCAGTTAAATTTACAAAAAAAAACAACAACAAACAAAATTAGAATCTTTTCTCACAGCAAGGAGGAGTGTAATATGTGTCATTTTTACAAACTGGATTATAATTCATTGCATTTAGCAGAAGCAGCCCTAACACTTTAAAGGCAATAGCAGTTTGTACAGAGAGCGTGGTTTGAACCATGTAAGAATGAAGATTCATAAAGATTAAAGCACTGATGAAATTTTAGTAACAACTGACTGATACCACAGTTTAGACAGCACAACTGAATTCTGTTTAAAGAAGCAGACGATAAGCTGAGCTGTGTTCAATGTAATCATGTTTTAATTACAAAGACTGAGGACTGACAAAGACACTGGACTTTGCTCATTCAGTCAAAAAAGAAAGGTGAGACCCTAGACCCTCAGGCAGATTTTACTTCTGACTCTACTACAGTGGGGCATAGTGCTCCATTACTGCATTTCCTCTCTCATGCACTTACCCTCCTGCCCCTCTTTTCTCAGTGTTCTGTCTTCTCAGAAAAGACAGACATTCCTCAAGGGCTCACTGAATGTTGCACCCTCTAGGGATTTTCATAGATAGGAGAAGGGAAGCAGAAGTATTCAAAATGGATCGCTCATTTAGATCTAGCAGGCCACTTGTCTTGGCATGCTTTGTCCAAACCCTTTGCACACTCTCTGTTTCACTTCAGCGGTGGCCATGGTGAAATCTCACTTCTCAGTTATGGTTCAGCTTGATTTGGTACGGAAAGTTAATATTTATTGCAAAGTTTCACGTATCTGGTTCCAATATGGTCCTTAAGGTTTATTCATGTTTATTCACTCGTTCTCCCTTCTGGAGTACAGAAAAAGGATATCTCTTCTAGTGGAAGTTTCTTCGTACCATCTTCCATTACAGAGCCTTTCCATCTTATCAGAGAGGATAAGACAAAAAACAGAGTATCTCCTCAATTTTCCCTCAAAAGCATTGGAAATTTTGCAATTTTGTGACAGTAGACATAGTCTGAGAAAAGTAATTCATATTCTTTCCTTCTGGGGAATTGTATACACAAACCTTGCTGAGTATTCTCATCTCATGGCCCAAGCTAATAGCCATTAATAGCTCATTGTCTTTTTTGCCAGCTCATAAAATCTCACTGACAAGAGCCTCTGTCATTTTTACACTATGATGCAACAGACGCTGTTACAGTGTTACAGAACTTCTGGGATTCAGCTGAAACTTTGCATGACCCCATTAGCCAAACAAGAAAAGTTCTGGTGCTATTGATATTGTAGATTTTGAGACTAATGAGTTGCTTTTCCCTGCTTATTTGAGTGATATGACAAAAATAATTCACAGTCTCTGACCTCCTTTATGTCATGAATTTCCAGTATTTGGAAAGATGCCTATAGCTCTCAGCAAACAGCCATTGGCAAGTATATTTAGAGAGCAATATGTCTTATAAGATACTGCTGCAACATGGATCATACTTTCATGTAAAGAACCTTCAGGTTTCATTCCACTTACTGAGATCTGGCCTGTTTGCTCCCTCAAGAGAATTTTTCTTATAGAATAAGATTTCTGCAACCTGATAAGGAACACTTTTGTACCTCCAGTCAACTAGATGATACTTGATCCCGTACCACATTTTATCCCCTACCCACCTACCTCATATTTCATTTGTAACTCAAGGTTTAGTAGCTACTGGTAAATATTGTAGCAAATGATCAGTTGAGAATTGGTCAAATTCAGCAGCTATGTATATTCAGTATTATTTTTCATTAGCTTATTACATTTACCCTGCAAACAATATGAGAAAATGAAA